TCAGTGTTCTATCACTGAATCTATCTGAACCACATATCCCTCCCATAAGAAGCATCACATTATATCACTGTGATGGTCCCACTTACCTTTCCATTCAATTTCTGACGTCTTGGCAAACAAACCTTCACTTACTGCCATCGCCAATTTCAAAAGATAAGGAGAAACCAAAAGGTTTTTTTTTTAAATTTTCTTTGTCTTGTAGTTTGTTACATAAACTCTTTGCTGCATAAGTAGAACATAGTTTTTTATGATTGTCTAACATCTCTCTCTTGAATTTCAAGAAAATAAATTATAGAGGTAGTGTGGTACAACAGAAAAGCACAGACTCTAAAATCAGAGGATTTAGTTCGAAATCCTGCCTTTGAGCTTTCTACTTTAACCTCTGGGCCCAGTTTCTTCATCTATAAAATGAGATTCAACTGGAAGGCTAAGATCCCTTTCAGCTCTAAATCTATGGTCCCAGGAGTAGTCCATATTCTAATATATCAGGGTTCACTGCATGAACCTGTTTATTCTTTGAATTTTACGTTTTATAGACTTTGAGCCTCTCTCTTTTCTGAGTCTTCATCTTTCCAGATGAAAATAATTCCTTCTAAAGCAGATTGCCTGTCTTTTTGTCATTTTACTTGTGGGGGACATTTTCCAGTTCACATTTCTAGAAACAGAGCGCCTACAACAGTACACAGTTGTCTATTTGCCTTCATTTTTGTGTTGCTAAGCTACGATGGAATATAACGGAATAATAAGTGGACTTAAGAACTGAGACATTGGTTCAAGTCCCAATTCAGACACTTATTAAATATGTGACCACAGGAAGCCTCGTTTCTTAATCTCTAAAAGAGCTGTTACCAAAAAAAGGTCCTTTATAAACCTTAAAGGACTATACATGTAAATTGTTATGGGGAAGAAAGTGCCTATCAGTGATAAGAACTTTTTAAAATAAAGTCCTGCCTGGTTTGGTAGTTACTCAATATTCTATTTTATGGCAAAACATATGGCTCAGAAACAGAGCTAGACGAGACCCCAGAGGCTATCGAATCTAACACCTTCATTTTACAGAGGAGGAGACCAAGGACAGGTATGAAACAAAGATGAGGTTTGAAACCAAATCCTGACTCCAAAGTCAAAGCATGGTCACACTAAATGGCATGGAAGCCAGTAAACAGTTATTGCCTTCTAAGTTCACAGGACAAATCAGTCAAGTGAGATAACTCTACAGCTAAGAATAAGATGATTCTTAGCTATTCTAGTTCATATGAGTTCACTAGCACCTTGTTATTTTATTTGGCCTACATTTCATAATAAATAGATGTGCTCTGTAAACAGAATATTGCCTAGACCTCATACGTTGTTATTTGACAGTATATATAAACACTTTAAACTTAGTCTCAAACTTTCTGATTTTTTTTTGGTCCAAATTTATCTACGCCCAAACTATAGTGAACTTCCAAGGGAGAAGGTTCCATCTACCAAAAATCAACTATTCTGCAACTTAGCCTTTGAGAATGGCCTGGAGGTACTAAAGAGATTAAGGGACTTTCCCAGGGTAATACAGCTAATGTTTATGAGGTTAGGCTAGAAAACAGATCTTCCTGATTTTAAGGTAATTCTCTATCCATACACATGACAATCTCACTCACACTTTTGTCACCTCCTACCTAGTGTTTTGTCATACCTAATGTTAGCTACAAAAGGTAAACAGGAACAACTGTCCTAGGATCCCACCAACAAAAGGGCCTAGAAAGAAGCTCATATTTGATTTAAGGGTCTGGTATCATTAAATTAAAAAAATAAAGAAAACCAGCACTTGGCCATTCACTATAAGTGGGAGTGGTGCCTTTTTAAACTGCTTACTCAGCATGGCAGGGGATGCTTAACTGGAACAGAGTTGAGCCTCCAGATGCAACTCTTCTGATATCCAGGGGAGCACTTTGAGAAAGTGTTCCCCCAATTTATTTGATCCACTGCTCCCAACGTGGAATTACACATAGGTAGGGTGGGAGAAAGACAGAACCAGGCTAGTCCCAAGTATTCATATTTTTAAAAACTAAAATAAAGGATTTATTGGAATTGTGACTTGTTAAAAAAATAAATAAGCACTTGTTTTCATTTATAAAGGTATCCTATAGTACTCACTGCTCATAAATGTTTACTTAGCTGCTTAGGAAAAGGGATACTAAGGCTTTTTTTTCCTTCTTATAAAATATTACAGACACAAGGTTTAACAAGCTTTTAGTCGTTTTATCAAGAGTTCTGCAGATATTCGCTTTCATTCATTTAGGACTGGTATTTTTTTCTTCATACCTCTATGAAAACATTTTTCCCTGAAAACTTAGAACATATACAGCTTTGTGCAAATTAAGTATCCCAGTTCCCTCTTTTTAAAATGAGTAATAAACATAATCCAGTGCTACTAAGGCACAAGTACTTAAAGGTTTTCTTAAACAGTGCTAACTTCCTATATCCATTTTACTCAACCTTGTTCACTAATTCCCAGATAGACAACACTAATAATCCCCCCCCCAAATTTCCCACATGATTTTTTGGTGCCAATCCTTGTTATAAGAAAGGAAAAAATGTCTTTATCCATATGAGGAGTTAGCTCCACATGTAGGAAAAAGGTACATTAAGTATCACATTAACCTTACTAGATTTTACTTAGGTAGTTGTCATGAGAGGGAAGAAGTTAAGGTGTATCTGAAGATTTACTATTTTCTTTTTGTTTAGATCAAAAGGACAAATTAGTCATTTTGATAGTTCACCATTTTATTTATTCACCTAGGTCATAAGGAAGAATTTTTTTTTATTTTTTCAATTCTTCCTACTTTCCCTATAAAACAATACAAACCCCAAAAGCAAACAACTAAAAACAAGGCATTTTGGTCTCTATTCACCAGAGGTTTTTTAAACATCACAGGTTTAAAAAAAATAACTACTGACCCTAAAGAGAAAACACAGGGTTTGGCACAATTGTAAAACACAAAAAAAACTCCAGAGGAAATGATGTACATTGTCCCTTTTTTTGGAAGCATCAAAAAAAGTGGCTGAAGGACGACTGCCACAATTCCAAAAATTGAAGAGGAATGCTGTGTGGGATTGAAACCAAAATATGAAATGTTTAAGTCTACTTTAAAAGGATGGTTTCTTGAAATCTTGTATGGTTCTAAAGCTCAGTTTAAAAATTTTTCTTAAACTACTTATAATGTATACAACTTGAACATGAATCTGAGTTTTAGACTTAAATCAAAAGGGTCAATAGTAGAGTAATAAAAACCACTTCAAGTGTCATTCTTGAATTACTGATAAGTTAAAGAGGAAAACATAGACATATAGAAAACATGCAATACTGTAGGAAATTTGTTAATTTAAAAATTATTTTTAAATAGATTATTAGGGATTAAAACATGTTTGTTCAAACTGATGCATTTTTAATCATATAATTTAATTTCTCTATCTTGTGCTTATATTGTTTATGCTGTGTGATAAGTTTCTAAAAGGAAGATCTGAGGATTAACAGATATAGTAGTAAACTACATAAATGTAAGCAGTTCATTTTTATCCAGAAGAAAAAAAATTTATAGGGCTAATTTTTTGTTTTGAGTCAACATACAAAACTGATGAAGCAAAGAACAAACTGACTTTATGGAAACTGAAGTCTCAAATTGAGAAATTCTCAAACTACAACACATCATGTTAGCAGCATTTTCAAACAGTGGATGATGTTAGACAAAAGTTAATACTTCTGCCTACTTATCTTTTTAGACACTTTTAAAATCTAGGCAAAAAAAAGGATTAATAAACTTCTAAGAACTGAAAAGAAAGATCCAGGTTAAGGGGAAATACAATAGGTATAGGTATAACCACAAAGTGCAAAGGAAAAAACTACTTGTTGAGGACAACATCTCACACATGTATTTTCCTGATTGTAACAACTGCCAAGCAGGTGCCCCAGGCCACTACCTTACAATCCCTTTTCAAAAGGTTTACTTATCTGCTTAGGGAAAAGTCAGTGGGAAAACTGGATTTGATGTGGAGAAACTAACAATTCAACTTTCTTCAGACAGATTTAGTCTTTAAAGCAAGAGCTATTTGCAAAACCTTAAGTATTATGACAGAAGGAAGAAAAATTTATTTAAGCAATTTTTAAATGCCTTAAAAAAAACCCTATATGCCATGTTTCCTATACCCTTGAAACCAAACTGGTGGATCGAGGGTGTTGTGTGGGGGATTTTTCCCTCAAGGATAGAGACACATGAGAGGAACAAAACAACTAAATTCATTTTACTGGATGAAGTCATTCAAAAATTTGTAGTATGATAAAGTTCTGATTTTTTAAAAAGGATTTAAATAAAGCTCACACTACAAACTGTTCTTTAAAATAAAATTCTATTTTGTTACATGACTCCAAAATCCTACGGTCAAAATCTTTTTTTTTTTTTCTGGTGAGGCAATTGGGGTTAAGTGACTTGCCCAAGGTCACACAGTTAGTGAGTGTTATGTGTCTGAGGCCGGATTTGAACTCAGATCCTCCTGACTCTAGTGCCAGTGCACTATCCACTGCCACCTAGCTGCCCCCAGCCAAATCTTTTTAAGAAGAGATAAAATGAGCTAATTAAGGGGTTTTCACCTTTTTTTAATGCATTACTTTTCATGGTAGTACTTTAAATTTCTGCACAGTGCTTGCTAGTGTGAACTCCATTGCAACCCTACACTTGCTTTTCCTGCTATATTAAAAGATTATCCACACTATTTTCAAAAAACTCCCTCCCCCTTCCTTTTTCCCTAAGTATACCAGATAATTCTTAGTTTATCATCTTTTAATATGCCACTCTCTACAAAGCCACCATTTAATTTCCAGTTTATTATAGTAGCATATATCTGATTTGGGCTATTACTTACCTGTAAGATTTCCACATTCCTTTTTCCCTTAATGGTTTGAAATTTGGGAATGAATAAATGCTTCCTCCAAAGTCCTCAAGTATTTATTAAAAAAGGAAAACTAAAGTTTGGCATGTTTATTGAAAAGGAAAATATAGTTTTCAATGGCAGTTCAGATCACAGTCCTCTTTTTACCTTCAATTTCATTGTATTACTGCTATTTTTAATCAGCCTAAGGTTACAGCTACATACTGTATACTCTGCAGAAATGTAAACCTGAGGCCTGACATTCTTAATGTTAATAAAGGAATTTGTTTCTTTGTCCCATGGAATTTTAGGGTTGAAAGTGATTTTAGTTATACCCCATCATTTTACAGAAGAGGAAACAGAAGTCCACGTATGTTACAAATCATATTTCTTCATTTGGTATCTAACAACCCTGCTTCTTTTCTTTAACCATAATGTTGGTTCCTTTTGACTTGCTCTTCAACTTTACATTGCTTGGATAAATTAACTTAAATCAACATAGAACAGATATAAATATAATAAGCCCATGTCTTAATTCCTTTACAAGATTAATTCTCATTAGTATAGATGCACTGTTTTTGATTTGAACTCCTTAAACTTTATATTTTCAACTATAAACTCTCTGCAGAGAAAGGAATTGATCAAATAAGGAAAAATAGCACTTTTTTTTTAAAGGACTAGTTTTCCCTACTACCATCCAAAAGAGTTCTCAAATTTTGTCAGTAAGATACTGCTTAGTTACATTTCTAATCATCAATGTCATCATACTAACTTTCAATTTTTTCTTCCTGGCTTGAGCAATGTTAGATAATTAAAAGATCCAATTATAGCGAAAAGCAATGAAGTCACATTTCTTATTTTCGATCAGTCTTAATTAATGGAATCTTTGTATTAGTATGGCTTAATATTAATAAGGCTGTATCACAGGAACTATTTCTGTTCTTTTCCTTTGTTAACAGCAGGACTAATGACTGATTTTCAATGCCTGAACTAACCTTAGACATGTTTTAATTCCAACATGTCTTTATAAAAATAAAGGGATTCACCATGTCCACTACTTTTTTATTCATAATGCAGTTTGACTTTTTTCTTTTAAGAATCTACCTTACCAATAAGAATGGCCTGATTTTAATGTTGACTGGGCATCTGCTGTGAAAGTAGTAGTTGGGATTTTCTTCACAGAAGGTCTCCTGTTCGGTTCAGTCAGAAGATTGGGCCCCACGACCTCTTCTAACAAATTTGTAACAGACACAACACACACAAGGTTGTCATTTTTTTTTTTTTTTAAGGTGTGATTTCTCCTTCCCATTCATATTTTCTTTTCTTTGAACATATTGCACAATATTTTATTATTAAAAAAAGATTTTCTGTCAGGCAAAAAAGTTTTTCTCCTCTTCTCATGAGGTGCTATGTATACTATTTTTTGTAAGAGGTAAGTGGTTGTTTGTGTGGCCATCCTGAACCTAGAAAATATAACAAGAAAAAGATCAGATTATTAGTTTTAGTACTTGTAAAATGTATCCAATGTAAAAATAGAAACTTTATTTTCATTCAAATTTGGATACATTGGGGGCCCTCAAAAACTTTTGCCTTTTTTTTTTTTGCCCACATCTGTGATTTCACTGGTTTGAGTAGTACTCAAATAAGCAAAATTCACTAAACCAATGCAGATCAACAACTGCTCTATCCTAGACAGATGCCTAAGGCAGAGAAAGGTTAAGTAACATGCCTTAGGTAAAGGGTTACACAATCAGCAAGTATAAGAGGCTAGATCTGCACCCAGATCCTCTTAATTCTGATTCTGCCTTCTCAACTTCTATGTGAAATATATGAAACACAATACTGATACTCAAATGGCTGTTCTACTATTCTTACTTACAGAAGTAACAGGTTTGTAGGCTCCAAGTCTGAAATGACAACAAATTATTTCAACTATGGATTTTCCAATTCCATGTAGCATGCCTGTAAGTTAAGAATAAGCACATAAAAAGTACATTCTCAGAATACACGACTTTTTTAATTAATTCCTGAATTTAAGAATAAATAACAACTAATTGGACCAACATAGCTTAAGGTGTGAAAAACAGTAAATAATTCTATGGATGACACCTTTTACTTACCAGCTAATAAGAATTCAGCATTGTTACTTTCAAGGATAATGGATTTTAAAAAATTATGACGAACAAATAAAGTCACATAGCTCCTAGGCCTCAAAATCCAACTTCTCCAATTACACAATTACACTTATGAAAAGTTACCAAAGTAAAAAAAAACAAACAAAAAAAACATTGGGGGCTGTTTCCATATCTTCTGGGAAGTTGATGATATTGTAACATTACATTTTATGCAAGTGGCAGTATGGTTTTATATAAGGAAAAAATGGTATGCCCATCATCACAACTTAAAAAAAAAACATGATGGGCAGTAAATATAAATTATTTAATTACATGTTATTTTGATTGTTCAATAAGTTAGAAGCATATAATTTAAATTCCATACAAAATTGTATCCTTCCTCTATTAGCATTTCTTATGAAAATTACACAAATTTATCAGGATTACAATCTCATTAATCTTTGTGATAGCAACTTAAGTAACAATGAACTCATGATATATTACCTATTTTCATTACAGGGTGGTTTTCCCAATTAACTCTGAAATTAATTTCTACATCTCCTCTAAATAACACATTTTCTAAAATGATAAAAATTATTATAGGTTGTTGATATTGGCTCAAATTTATATGGTGCTTTTACGACTTATAAAACTTCCTCAAATCAGGCTTGTAAGATAAATTATATAGGTATTAATATCCCCATTTTATAGACAAGAAAACAGAGGATCAGAAAATCTTGTCCAAAGATCACACAGTTTTTGAACCAGGACTTAAACCCAGGTCATAGTATCACAGATTTAGAGCTAGAAGGGACCACAAATGTATAATCCAAACTTTTGGCTTTTTGCTCAAATAAAGAAACTGAGACCCAGAGAAGTGAAGTGGCAAAGGACTTCTGTTGCTAAATCCATTATTCTTTCCATTGTATCATGCTTCCTTTATGACTGTGAATCAACACTTTTTCCCATCATAAACAGCATTCCAAAAATAAGATACAAAAGTGTTATATTACCTGTTGTTGAGAAAATTCCTCCAATAATACCACACAGTCTTACTAAAAACTGCCAGAACGGCATATGTTCTTCAGTCACTGTTACCATAAGGGAACTAAGATCGTATTTCATAAATATCCCAGATACCCCATGGCTTCCTGCTGCATGGTTAATGGCACGTTCCTAAAGCAACCAAATTGGGGCAAAAGATAAAAGAGAGAAAGATAATCTATGTCAACATTATGTAGTCAATTTCTATTGCTTCTTAACTTTTTGACTCATAAGTTAGCGATAAGGAATTCAGGCAGAGAACAGTTCCTGCAAATTAAAAGTGGGTAGTAAATTAGAGAAGAAATTTGTTTCACATCAACCCCTCAGATCTAATGCTGCAATTCGCCAATGCTTCTATTCTATTTCTTCTCCCCTGCCCCAAATAATTTTTAAAGAAGCTTACAATTACTAGATTGCATTTTACTTTGCTTCAGAGCAACTGATTTCATTAGAGAGGGGATGCCCAATGAAGAAACTCCCTTCACAAATGCAGATCAATTAATTAACAAACAATTGGCTATGTACCAAATATTGTGACAAGATACAAAGAAAAAAATGACAAAAATGAAGCCCTGGTCCCTGCCTTCAAGTCACCATGTAAATATAAGGACACAACATGTAACTATAAAAACCATATATAAAATTTTTAAAAAGTAATTTTTTGAGGAAAAGGCATTCTCAGTTGAAGAGGGGGTGAATCATGAAAGGCTTTAAGTAGAACACAGAGCTTCAAGTTAAACTCTGAAATTAACGATTCTAAGAATAGGAAGTATAATTTCATCTATGAGGAACAGCCAATATAAACATTATGGAGAAGGGAGAGGAAATGTTTGTTGTGTGGAAGTGCAACTGGCTAGACCATAAAGTGTATGCAGTGGATTAATTCATAATAACACTGGAAATGTTGTCAGGAATCTAGTAGTTAGGGCCTTTAAATTCCAAACAGAGGAATTTATACTTGATCTTAGAGGTAACAGGGAGCCAAACGAATTTATGGAGTATGTGATCAGATCTCTTATAATTTAAGTGTATTGCAATAGCAGCTGGATGGAGGATAAAATAGAAAAAGGAGAGTCTTGAAGGAGGAGGACTAATAAAATAATCCAGGGGAGAGATGAGAGCCTGATTTATGGTGGTGGCCATGTGAGTTAAAGAGAAACCTGCAAGACTTGGCAAATGATTAGATCTATATGGTAAGAGGTATGACAAGGATGACACCAAGACTGAGGACCTAGTTGGCTGGAAGGATGGTGGTATCCTTGACAAAAATAAGGGGGGATGAGATAATTATTTATTATCATTATTATTATTACTAACATTTATATAGTGCTCACTATATACCACGCACTGTGCTAAGTGCTTTACAATTATTATCATTTGATCCTGGGAGGTGGGTGCTATTATTACCCCCATTTTACAAATGAGGAAACCAAGGCAAATAGAGGTTGATGACTTGTCCAGGGCACATAGCTACTAAGTGTCTGAGGCTGGATTTGAACTCAGGTCTTCTTGACTCCAGGTACACACTATCTACTATGTCACTCAGGCATCCAATTCAAAATACCCAAAAATCTGGCTGAAGTAAGACAAGCTCAAGAACAGAGTCTATAAATAGAGACTATTGAGCCAGAGATGATCTAGGAAATCTGTATAAAGACGATAAACTTTCAAGTTAAGAAGGTCACCAAGCAAATATAAACAAAGAAAATAGTCCCAGAACAAAGCCACGAGGAATGACTACAATTAGGTGTGGTACAATATGGGTGATCCAGCAAAAGAAGCTTAGAAAAAGCAAAGAGAACACTGGCATAAATCCAAATATGAGAGCATCCAAATATGAGAGTAGGAGATGGTCAGCAGTGTCAAATACTAAATACTAAAGAGGTCTGCCAAAATAATTTTCATAATGCAGAGGTTTAATCGTATCATTTGATTCTCAAAATTCCTCAATGACTATGTTATAAAATACAAACTCCTTAATATAATGTCCAAGGCTCTCCTCAGACTAGGCTACTTGTTCTCAAATTTTGTCCTACTCTTTTCTGCTTCCTCCATCTATAGAAAAAGCACTCTCAACCCATCTCTGCTAAACTTCTTCTTCTTCAAGGCCCAGCTTATCTGCTACCTTTTTCATAAAGTCTTTCCAAATATCTATTGCTAGACAGGATCCTGCCCTTCCAAAAATCTCCCATGCATTCTCCTATGCATCAATCATATTCTTGTTTATATTACAATTAATTATCTGTGTATCTGTCTTATTCCTCTTCCTATAGTATGAGCTCCTGAGGGGTAGGTAATTTTTTATTAGCTATATCTCCAGCACAATGCCCTGCTCAATGTTTGTTAAAGTGAAATAAATATTCCCATGTCAAAAAGTCCAATCAAGTCCAAGAGTTTTAATCTCACAAAGCCTACTGATCAAATTAGTCTAAGCGTTAAAGTTTATAATCTGCCACACTTTCAGTAAGACTTCATAGCCAGAAGTATATGAATGTTGAACTCTACATGCCATCACTGAAGTAAGAGAGTATCACTGGAACAAGCTACTTACACTCATATTTTCATTACAAGACATTACAAGAATTTAAGGTAAATAACTATAAGCGAGTTATTCAGATTTTCTGAGTCACCCAAATATCAGGAGATATTTTGCATCTCTTTCTGAATTAAATATAAGCAAGTTTTAAAATTCATCTTTTATCTGCAACACCAGTATTTTTTAACCAATCAATGACATTCCATTGTTTCCATCCCTATATTGTCTCAAAAAAAGTTCATTTTCTAGAGTAAATGCTTTCATTTTGAGTACATTGTTATAGAACTACAATTATCCCTTCCATATCATGACTTTCCCCATAACCACTTTGATATATCATAGGGGGGCATTAAGAAATTAAATGGGAATCTTGGAGTTTTGTAGAAGCCACAGAAAACATGAAAAGTCCAGCAGAGGAGAAATGTATAAAATATATGTATGGTATTATATAACATCAACCCAAATTTTACAATAAGGTACTGTAAACACTCTATAAAAGTAGAATGTGGAAGGGATAACTGCACACTCCTTTTCCATGACCCATTTTAGCTAAGTTATAATTAGTGCAAGGGTTTAAAAGAATCACAATAATGAGGTCAACTCTTTTCCTAAGGAAATACTAAGTAAAATGCGAAATAGGATAATACAATGCCTCATTACCTATTAATATTACTCTCCTAAGATACTACAGCATAATTTAAAACATTACAGTTCAAACTTTTTTTTAAAGGATTCTTTTTTATTACAGGGAGGGAAGGAGAGACACAATCAACACAGGGGTTCCCTATCTTGTCCAGGCTGGAAGTACAGCAGCTACTCACTGGACTGATCCCAATACTGATTCCCATGGAAGCTCCAACTTGATGTTTTTCCTACCTGAGACAGACCTCCTTCTTAGGATGCCAGGTGGCATTCTTCCTTCAGGGGCATACCATATTGGTGCCATACTTAGTGCAGACACCGATTAATTTTTGGCCCTTCTGAAGCTCAGAACTTCTGAAACTCAAGCAATACATCAACCTCCCTCATCAGCAGGGACTACAGGTATGTTCCACCACACCCAGGGAGAAAAAAGCATTTATAGACAAAGCTTAAGAAAACAGTTATCACTGTGCCATGTGGCTGAGTGGTAAGAGAAAATATTTTTTCCAATATTAGCACATCAAGCTAACAAAACATTTATCATTAAGTGGCAAGGCCACTCAGGAATCCACTACTTTATCCTGTTTCTTCTCTAAATAAAACATAACCACTTCTAGCCATGTTTTCACTATAACCTATGTCACTGTAGAGGTCAACTACTTAAAAATCCCTCTTTTACTCACCAGAATGGGTAGAAGAGAAAAGGTATGATTCTACTCAGTTCTTTTTCAGGCCATGCTATGAACATAAGAATGAAAACTTACACGTCTTTTTCCAGCTTCAAGACACAAAGGTACTTTAAAGCAAATCATCTGTTCTCAGATAACTACATATCTGAGGCACTACATATAACTACATATTTAAGGCACTAAAATTAAATTTCAGTTGAAGGTAACCAAAGTTTCTCTATATAAGATCCTATTCTGTAATCTCATCATGGCATACAGGTTATATTGGGTTCGCAAAGTCGATCTATGTCACTAGGATATAAGATCTGGCAGGTCCTATCACAAATCGGAAAGGTTTTAAATATGGGTCTATGTTCATGGAATTTAAAGATCAAACTAACTAACCACAGAAAAGTTCATTAATTACATGGTTGGCCACCAGGTAATGGATTTTTTAAGCCATTTTCCTCCTGGTCCTATTCCCGACTTCCTCTGGACTTCAAAACCATGCCTCTTCTACTGCTGTCCTAGAATTTCACTCAGTGCTTGAGGTCTCATTACCCTGAAACAGTCTATTACTCTGAAGGCCCACGTACCATGGAATATTCCTCCATAAGGCTTGCCCCTCCCCCCCTTCTCCCATTGTGAATTCCTCCTGAAGCCTCAACTTTACAGGAGATAAGGCTGGGCTGCCTTCATTCTTCTCAAGGCTCCTGTTCCTGATTTCCTCTGGATTTCAAAACCTTCACGTGGTACCTCTATTCCAACCACCCCCACCCCTCCACTTTTCAGCTCCCCCAACAGATTTTAAGATCTTTGAAGGCAAGTGCTGACTTTTTGTTGCTATTTGTATCCTCAATGCTTAGTGTGTTCTAGACACATAGTGAGTACTCTCCTTCAACCAGGAAGGGGCTGTGATCTCTGCTGAAGGGCATATACATTTTAAGAATGTTTTAGAGTAATTAATTAGTTGAGATTAAAAAAAAAATTCGTTGTTCTTCAGTTGTTTCTGACTTTGTGTGACCCTATCTGGGGTTCTCTTGGCAAATATAGGAAAATGGTTTGCCATTTCCTTCTCCAACCCATTTTACAGATGAGGAACTAAGGCAAAAAAGCCTAAGTTACTCAGCCAAAGTCACACAGCGAGGAAGTGTCTGAGACCAGATTTGAACTCGTGAAGATAAGTCTTCCTGATTCCAAGCCCAGCACTCTATCCATTGCACCACCTAGCTGCCCTAAAATAAACTACTTAAGATTAAATATAATACAAAAAGTTCTGGATTTACTAAAATTTCTGGATTAACTAAAAGGCATTTTAGGAGGTAAAAAACAAAATCAATTCATTTTTCCATGCACTGAAATTTTACAATGTAACAAATACAGGAAAAACATTTACACTTAGTGTTAAATTATCTACCCAACATGAACACATATTGCTTTTGATACATTTCCATTCTTAAGTTCTGAGCTTAAGAAAAACCTCACTGAAGTTCAAATTTTTCTTCCACTAGAAAAAACAGACTATAAACTAATAATCATCACCAGATCATTTTGCTAGTCTGGAATTAACTTACCCTTTCTGTCACTGAAAACTGGTGAGTGTCTGCTGAGATTTTGTATGTATTGAGTTTTGTTGGCACAACTGTGATAAAGTATTGGAACATCTGGTTGTCTAGAATAAAACAAGAAAAGCTTTCCAGAGAGTCAATCAAAAAATCAATACTTAAATCAAAAAATCAATACTTAAAAAACACCATTCACTACCTATTTTTTCATGAAAGTTAATACCTCCCATCAACTACCAAATAGTAACTAATAAACACTACTTATTTATTAATGACGTACATAAAACCTGGTTAAACAGTTTCAAGGTACCAAAATGATCATCTATATCTCTGGCTGTATACTGTGTAGGCCTGCCCAAGATTATTAGGCCTCTTAATCACTTCTTCATTAAGGGTCAGTGAACCCTATTAGCTCTCTCCGGGAACAGCCTTGGGGCCTGACTTGGGCTATAATTAAAAGCTCTACATTTTTTGCGGGCTGCCTGAAATCCTTTAGTAAATGTGCAGGCCTGACCTATATTTTTAAACAAATCTGAAGAAAAAACTAATCAATTTAGTACGAAAAATGTTTTCTTTTTAAAGCTGCATCAACATTTATACATCATTACAAACACCATGTATGGTGGGTTAAAATACAGTTATAATGGGATTAACACAAAACATAAAAACTTTTAGCTATTATCATGAATATCTTCACATTTCATACATCAAGCAAAATTTAGTCATAGCATTACTAGATAAAAATATGAGATATCTGGGATTATGTCAAGTACTGAATATAATAAAAACCTCTACCAGTTTTTGGAGTCACTGTAAAACCAAAAAAATTGCACTTTAACCAGCCATTATCTTAAAGAAAAAAAAATCAATACTGTCCATGAAAATATAAAAGTAGATAAAAATAAATAACCTGGGCATAACCAATCGTTCCCTCAACCGAGTTATTTGCCCTACTACTTAACATCTGTTTTAGATTCGTATCACAATCCAAAATTAACAAAAAAAACTACTGATTTCTATTTTCAATCACGTTTCAATTAGGTAACCAATATTACATAGCTCCTTTATACTTTCATCATAAAAGCCACTGGCAAAATCAAAGTAAGCCTGAAATAACAAGTATACTTAAAAAAAATTTTTTTGGGGTCCAGATCTGTGATGTCATTAACATAAAGAATTACAGGTAAGAAAATTGCTTCGAGCAATGAAAAATATCAAATGTTTGCAACTTAGAACCTTAGAGATGACTGAGGAACACTGAAAAGATTAAATGACTCACCTAGAATTCTATATGTAGTACATGTGTCAGTGACATGACCTCAAAAAGGCAAGCTGGCTTTCTTATCCACAAAGCCAAGCTGCTTAAAAAATGATATGCAAATCTAATTTTAAGAATTTCATAGTTTAAAATGTTTTAGTAGAAACTATTTAGATGAAGCCTATAGATTCTTACGCAAGCAATCTAGCCATCATTCTGGATCAGGAACCATGAGACCTTGGTTTTAGTTCTGGGTCTGTTTCTATGTAGCAATTCATTTAAGTTTGTTTTCCTCATTTATAAAAGACACAGGGACTTAGTGCGAGACCTAAAAATCTGCGATCCTTTGATAATGCCAAAAATAGTTAGGTATAGCCTTAAGAGAAAAGTCTCAGTTTCAATCTGGCCACTGAGTACTTCACATTTGTCTAACTGTTAATTTTTAGGGGCATTACATAATTTCAACTGTCAGGTACATTACTGAAGATATATATTGTATGGACATGAAGATACATGCAATTTGTGGTTTAGTCTGACATCTTGAAACAATGACCAATGTAAGTTCTCCAATTACATATCTGCTATAATACATATTTAATATTTTTATACAATTTTGTGCTTAAGAGACAACAGTGGTTCAGAGATCCACTAACGAATTTGTAGTCCGACTTCTTTTTTTTAAATACCTGATTTTTCTAAAGTGTAGGTAGTGTATCTATGCCAGAAATACAAAGCCCTATGGATTGAGTGCTACAAGAAATAATAAGAGGTTAGCTAATCTATTTTTCTAACTCTGTGACTACAACTAAAACAGCCCATAAAAAGAAATGAATAAGGTTTATAAAAATTCCACAAGCACTTTTGAAACTAGCAGTGCACTTTTGGACCTTAAAAGTCATAAGTGAAGTGTTTCTTCCCAAACCTTCTGTCCCAGTTCTTATTCTGTCTGTAATGAGCAGAAAACAGCAACATCAATTCAATACAATTTCCACATACCTGAAAACTCTATGTTGTCCCTTTTCTAAACTGAATAATTATAATTTCTTCAGCATTTCCTTCTAAGGCCTGTGTTCTAACCCTTCAAAACTATTCACTGCTATCTTCTACTTTTTTTTTTAAACACATTTGTCATTCAAATGAGGAAGAAATCTGAAATTATGTTATTATTTAAATGACATTAGTTCAATGAATACAAACCTCTATATCTATTATAAAATACTTACGATCTGTAGCAATTTTTTCAGTTCCATCTAACGGATTAATAATTCCTGGAACAAGTTCACCAAAAGACAAATGATCTATTCTATGGGAAAAGTTGTACGCTAAAAGAGAAAAAAAAATACATAAACCATAATATTGCAAAACATAACTTTCTAGAAACAATCTTACAACTCTCTGTTTTGTTTCTGGGAGGGAGACAACTGGGGGTAAATGACCTGCCCCGGGCCACACAGCTAGTTAAGTGTCTGAGGCCAGTTTCAAACACAGGTCTTCCTGACTCCTGGGTCGGTGCTCTGAGTAGGTGCTCACTGTGACACCTAGCTGTCCCCAATTTTACAAGTATTTTGCCCTAAATATAAACTCTAAAAATCTATATGCTCAAAAATAGTTTTATTTAATACAAATTCTTAAACATTTTCAGGAAATCTAAAGAAATGCATAAAAATTTCCTATAAATTATTATAAGCCAACATTACAAATTGCCTTCCAAAGGATAATGCACTTCACTTTCATATCTAAATATCTATTTATCCTGAGTTCAATTTTAAAAATCAACATATCTCCAAGCCCAGTAACTTAAAACTATTCTTTTATAATTGTGATGGTATCTTTTATGCAGTCAAAAAGCAAAACTTCTTAAATCTACTTCCCCAGCAAAAACCAAAAGATCAAACTAAATTTCAAATGGTAGTGTTGAGGAATTTTAGCATTATATTTTCTTCATCTTCAATCTAGTGGTTTCAGTTTTACTAATGCTGTTACACAAATTATTTTAATTGAAATACATACTTAAAATATAGTATACATATTATGGATGCATATATATGGGTGTATACATATGTGTATGTTAGAAGTAACTGAATGAACTTAAAATATAATCATCCCTTGACTATCCTAAAGAATGAAAAGGAAGATTAGTGCATGTAACATGACACAGTACATTTACAGAGGTTTTTGTTGGCTAAAACATATTCTGAATTTAGTCAACAAAACAGAAATAAGAAGTAATGGATTGGTAATCAGTCCTTGGGGAAAAATCCGGACTGAGAAAATGAATCCAAAGTATATATTTAGAGAAATTTTGAATCTACAAAATACTGACTTTTTTTCTCTCTTTCTGATGTCAAACCTAACGAAGGGGTTTGACCCATCTAATGATTTGTCTACATTATTTCTTTTCAATCTTGCATTAGCACCAAAACCAAAATCACTTTTTCTTTTAACAACCCTAACGAATAGGGGAGAAAATATCATAAATATCTTACAGTCATGACTGACAAGTGCTGCCAGGTGTGCATGACCTCGAGGATGTGGAATTGCCCTATGAGGATGAAAAAACAATGATTTTAATGAAAAACAAATTGGATTTTCTCATAAACTAATTACTGTGATTTTTCTTAATGTACAATAAGAGAAAAAAGCTTTTAAATTAAGTTTGACAACTCCCTGGGCCGATACATCCACTCTTCTCAAATGTGGTCTTCATCTAACTACTCTTATCTTATTGCTATAACTTCACTCATGCCACTATTTTGAATTTCCTCAAATTCTCAGCATAGTTCTTTTTCTTTTCCTTGGACCAGCAACTTGAGGCTTTTACTATACTTGAAATTATTTCTTTAAATGAATATAGATGTCTTCCTATAAGTGAAATTATCACTGCAGTGAAATGCTGAAAAGTCATGGCATAAAACTCCCTAAGTGATGAAATGGTAAAAATTCAGCAAAAAAAATTTTTTTTTTCTGAAAGCTAGAATTACTTTAAACTTTTAACTATTTGCCTTACTACCCAGAGTTCTGAGCTGAGATAAAGGGAGGTTTAAAAAAAAGATTGAAAATCAACCAAAAAAATCCAAAAGCAAATTCATAAAGCATATTGTTAAAATAAGAATAAGATTTGTTTAAACACAAAACTTGAAATTACTTTTATTTCTCCCTATTACGTGTCTGCACTGAGCTTCGAAGTAACCAAGTAAAACGAAATCTCCAAATGACAAAACAAGGTTTCAGAAGTCTAGATGTATTTGTTTTTATTTTGTGAAAATGTTACAGCCATTTTTGTTGGTCTATATAAGAAAAATCCTGAGGGTTAAAAATGAGCTTTTATAAATAAAAAACAAAACCAAAACAACTCCAAGAAACAAAACATTCTACACTTTGAGTAGGAAAATCAACAGTAACATTCTCACTGAAGGTTGTAAATTACACTTTTCTTCATAAAAGATACATAATATTCTACATGTTCCACCAAAAGCAATGGTGTAAGTTATAATTTTAAAAAATATAGATATGGAAAAAATCCCTAACTGGGAGAGCTTGTGATAGAAAGCACTTTCCCTCTTCTCAAAGCTCTTCCCTACAAGAAGGGATGCAGAAAATTCCACCTCTTCTTTCTCAAGCTGCTGGGAGCATGTCTGTTTCAAAAGTTAAAACAAAATTTTTAACTTATCTTAAAATATTATAGTTAATTATTATCTTCTAATAATGTTTGTGAAAAACAAGTGTTAATTACCATGGACATTTAAAAAAAAAAGCTATCACATTAATTCTACACTTTGAACCAAGTATATGAGTTTCCTATTTTATTTCTAGTCATATTTAAAATATTTTATTAAAGTAACAGTTGCTCATATCCTAGCAAATTTTTCATGGGGGCTGTTGCAGCATTAAATATGAACAAAATAAAATGTCATATATTTAACATTATAGGATCCTATGAGTACATATGTTTAATGAGGTAAAACCCAAAGTAAATGATTAGATCTTAACTCACTCATTTTACAAACATATAGTTAAGATGAACTTACAGTACTAAAACTACCTAAAAATTCCATGAAACGGGGAAAAAAGCTTAAAAGAACTTTAAATAATCACAAAACATTTATGGTCTGAAAATTTCTAAACTAGTTCTACAAATAAAATGTTTAAATGTCAAGGAAATGTCTTTTAGGTCTGTCATCTGACTTTAAAACACTTTAAAAATTTATCTAATTTACCTAAAGTTCCAGAGAACACTAAATTCAATAGTTAAGAGTGAAATGCCATTATAGCTTTAGGTAGGGTTCAGACCTATCCAGCACTATTACCATCCCCCACTATCAAACACCATCTACCTAGTCCAACCTAAAACCTAAACAAGAATCCTCTCTAAATCTTCCACAGGAAATGAGCATCCAGCTTTTGCTTAAAGACCTCTAATAAGGAGGAACCAACTAGCTCTTTAGGTAACTCATTCCACTTATAATTCTAATTGTTAGGAAGTTTCTTCCTAACCACAAACAAGCCCACATTGTGTTTCTTTGCAGCTTTCAGTCTTGGTACTGGCTTTGCCCTCATAGACTGAAGATAATGATCACATCCCCCCTAAGTCTTCTCTAAGCTAAACACCTATATTTACTTCTCTCAATCCATATATGGCATGAACTCAAGGTTCTTCATCCTGTTATAAATATTCACATACTCACTAAATGTGGCCCCCAGGTTTGATCTGACCAGGGCAGAGGTATAATAGTATCCCTGCCTTCCTAGTTAAGGGTACATGAATCTCTTAATGACAAGCTGAATTCAATTTTGAAATACCAGGCTTCCTGAGATAACTTAATACCCTCTAACCTGACTATTAAAAGATTTTAAAAAGCTTAAATATTTACAATTCTTTTTACTCATGATTCTAAACTCTGAATTTCAACCAAATCTTGTGACAGTGAAAAAGTACATGTTAAAACATACTAATAATATTAATAATGCTTATTTTAATTAAAATACACATATTAAGAAAAGTTGTTAATTAAGCATACAAATGTATGATCAACTTAACACATGACTTATATCCAAATCCCCATTTTTATGTAAAGTATTTTCAATAAGTGAAAAGAACATACTTGCCCACAGTTATGTGAAAATTCCCTGCTACTTTATTGACATATAGATGACCATGAATTCTGCATGCATCTGGAGGTTGTAATGAATTATCTTCCCTGTTAGAACAAGATATGGTAAGACTGCTTAAAGCATATCCATCACAGAAAATAACTCTGCATAAATATGTGAGGTATTTGGGAGAATAGTCAAAAATTTCAGAAAGACCCTAAATTAAAAAAAAAAATTTGTTTAGTGAAAAACTGAACTGTTAGCATTTATAATGAGAAACTTAGAAGTAGGAAAAGATAATTTAAATTGACATTTACATAATACTTTAAAATATGCAAAGTGATTAAATTTATTACTTCATTTGAGCCACACAACACTGTGAGGAAAAAGGAAATTTAGGCTTAGAGAGGTTGTGATATGTCCATGATCACAAAGCTATCTGCTTTTAAGGGTAGGATTTGAGCCAAAGTCTTTCTGATTCTATCCAGCACTCTAACCACTACAGTACAAATGCCTCCAATGTAACACAGATAATAAAAGTCAATCTGAAGTTCTACAATTCTTCATAGCTAAGCAAAAAACTAAGCTACTACTTAGAAACTATGTATAATTGGGCCAATAAAAAAGATGGCATGCATTTTTTACCTTAACTTCCATCACTTTACAGGAAAAAAAAGGAGGGAATATACATGTGTATACACATATGCATAGACATATGAGACAGAGAAATCAATCCGTACTTTTCAAATGGGAATTAGAAGAAAACACAGATCTTACACAAAATGTAATTATCACCACACCAAAGTATTTAGCAAAATATCTGCAGTAGGTAAAGTGCCAGGCCTGGAGTCAGAAAGACTAGAGTTCAAATCCGACCTCAGAAACTAGCTGCACGAACCTGGATAAATCACTTAACCCTGATTACTCACTTTCCTCATCTGTGAAATGATCTGGAGAAGGAAACAGCAAACTACTCCCATAACCTCACCAAGAAAACCCCAGATGGGGTCACAAAGTGTTGGACACAACTGAAACGACTAAAATGTGTACGACTATATACTTCTACAAAGTTACTGGATATTTCAAATCAATAGGAAAAGTAAAAACTAACCCAGTAACTGGAGAATTCATACTGGGAGAACACCTTCCATCCAAAAAGATCTTCACCCCACCTTTGACTTAACAAATAAATCCTTTGGAATTGCCTAAGAGAAGCAGACAGAGCAATTTGGTCTGGGGTCACACTGAGAGTGGATGAGATGGGATCTAGATCCAGGTATTCCTGACTCCAGGCACAGTACTTTACCCCTGGACCACATTGCCTATATAATGCACCTCTGTACTTGTATCTATAAATTAGTAAATCAACCATAGGAAGGTCTCTAGTGTGTTAAATAAACACCTGACAGGAGATCACACCTCCATTTATGTATTTGAGCATACTGTTACAGCAAAACCCTCAAAAGGCCCCTGAAGTATATGAGCATTTGGAATCAGAGAACCTAAATTCAATTCCAAGCTCTACCACTCAACATTATAACAGTGCCCTTTTGGGTCTCAGGTTCCTCCTCTACAAGAAGAGGGATTAGGATCTCCACAGTCCCTTCCAATTCCATAACTATCTTCCCATGAACTCCAAAATATTTTGTAGACTTACTTATTTAGCCCAAACAAAAAATTTCTGAAATGATTAAGGGCAGTTTTATAACAATGATGTTTCTATTATGTTTTCAAATCTTACAAACACAAAATTTTATTCAAGAAATTAGAGATATTGCCCACCCCATCACACAAAAAAAAGTAAATAAAACTATACCATATTCTTTGAATTATAATGAGAAAATGGGTTTGTAAAATTCTTGGTCAATGCTAACATTCCTACTAGTTCAAAAGTAAAGAATGACATCATAATATAAAATTATTCTAGCTCCCATAGCCTTAGACATTAAAGAAAACTGAAAACCATATTCACTCTTTTACTAAAACTCTCTAACAATAAATTCATGAAAACAGTTAGAAAATAAGATAAAACGAATAACCATCTCACCTTGGGGGTAGTGCTGTTGAGGCACTTTTAAAAGCACTTTTGAATATGACATCTTGTAGTGAATGTTCCTCTTGCAGCCTACTCTGAATTGTCTGTAACATTCTAAAAGCAACAACAAAAATTACTGAAAAAGTTCATAAGGCATAAAAACATAAGTAAAATATAACTGAATACCTCAGAGATCATCTGTGACTTCACCAAGATGTGCAAACTGCAATCCCTCTAAAAAATTTCATCATCTGTGGCCAACCAAGTGATAGGCCTCTCAGAGACTCAAATGTATCCAGCTTCATCTTAGGATAAAAAATGTACCACACGTAATCACGTCCATTTTTTAAAACCTTTTCAACTTGTCAGGACCTACTGCACATTGTACTCCTTTGACACAGCAGCCAGTCATAACAACCTGAGTTTGAGTCCTGCCTCAGGCACTCTACTAGCTGTATGACCCTGGGCAAGTCATTTAATCTCTCACAAGCCTGTTTCCTCTTCTGTAAAACAGAAATAATAACAACATCTACCTCACAGGGTTTTTGTGAGGACCAAATTAAAACATGGGTAAAGTTCTGTGCAAACCTTAAGATACTACAAATTATTATTATTATTAACATTAAGAACCAAAGGTCATTTTAACAGGACAGTGTAGCAAAAAAGGAGGGGCTTTATAAGAGGAATCAAAAATACATTCTTCATTAAATGTTCATAAAGTAACAGTTGGCATCCACAGCAAAACTATACACTGATTTAAGAAAATAACTATTTTGAAAAAGACATGTCTTCATTCATTTTCTTGAAAAAACCAGGGAGTAAGGTGTGAGACAGTAGTGGTAGCAGCCATTTGAAAATACAAATGTGGAAATCCTGAAATTCACTATACTAAAGGAGAAATACTCCCAAGTTTTGCAATCCTGCCAGTGTAGCAGAGTCCAGACATAGCCAAGAAAGGGAAAAGCAGACAAGGAAGTTGGGAGAGGCAGTTCCCATCCCAGTCCTGGTCACCATGCCATTTAAAAAAGCATCTCACATGCAAAAAGTTGACAACTCTTATTTCATAACAAAAATATTTTAAAAGCATATTTAAGTCCAGGATTCTAGAGCACAAAAGTGGTAGTTTTTTGGTTCAGTTGTTTCAGTCATGTCTGACTCTTCATGACCACATTTGGGGCTTTCTTGGCAAAGACACTGGAGCAGTTTGCCATTTCCTTCTCTAGCTCATTTTACACATCAGGAAATGGAGGTGAACAGTTAAGTAACTTGCCTACGCTCACAAAGCTACTACGTATCTGAGGCAAGATTTGAACTCAGGAAGGTTAAGTCCTCCTGACTCCAGGCCTATATTTTATCCATTGCACCTCTACCTGCCCTATTTCAAAAACATGCAACAGATATGGTAGCACAAAGCAAAGAAGCTGCATCAAAAAGACTACTTCTAACAAGACTATGCACAAAGTGGCTTATACATCAAGATAACTTATAATACAAAATTAATGATATTCCTATTTCTTAATCAGGTGTGTGAATTTAAGCCATCTTTGATACAGTAACAAAGATAGGAATGAAATATTCCTGCACTTCTCAAGAAGTCAAGTTTACTTCCCACTACTGTTAGGAATACCTATATATCTTTATGTCTATTCCACCTCTATCTCCTATAATTTTGTACCTTTGAGTATACATCAGCAGCCAATTTTTGCCTAACTCAACAAATATTTTTTAAAAACAAGCCTGAAGTATTTATCTTTTTTTAAAAAGGCAACATATAAAATATTTTTTAATAAATTGTAAAAATAAATTTGAATCTTCTACATCTCTAGAACATGCAATAAGATTTTTTCCAGGTGTTCAAGCAGGTAGGAATGAGGTTTAAAAATAAATAAATAAATAAAAACCAGCCAGTTTCTTCACCAGATGCATGCAACCACAGCAAAACAAGTCTATTTAAAATAAGGCAAATTATTTTCATATTTTATGGTTATTTCAGCCTAAACTAGAACTTTAGGAATAAGAAGAGAAGGCCTAGAAAAACTCTAAAAACTGGAAGTTCTTTGATAGAGGCAAACAGAGATTAATTAAGGCATTTGGATATGATGGGAAAATGAAATAGCAGTATAAAAAAGTCAACATACTTCACATTTTGGCATTTTCCAAGTAGACATGAATATGTTCAGATGTTCTTATTAACAACCAAGAACATAACATGCCTTGAGATGTTACTGTTCATTCCAGAACTATTTGGGGACTTCTGCTCCAAGTATATAGGTCTTCCCCCTTGCCAGAATTTTCCAAGAAGCTGAATCTAATTTGGGATCTGACCTAAGGGTCTTCCACCTAGCTTTAGGGTATCTGAAAACTTCTTAAAGAAAGATCTCTACTTCCAGAGTCCTGCTCTTGGCATGATGCAGAAGTCAAGTAAAAACTATCTGGTTATCTTGTTTGATGACATCAAGCTGATGCCAAATCTGCCCCCAGAATACTAAAAGGTGTCTTGCTAACATGCTAGACTTATAATCAGAGGTTAAGTTTGAATGCTAGCCCTGCTGCTTGAAAGGTTGGGACATTGGAGAAGTTACTTAACTGCTCTGGACCTTAGTTTCCTCATGTGTAAAAATAACATGGCTTGGTCTCTTTCTAGCTCTAAACCCATGTGCCAACAATGTTGTGTATAAACCGTTCAGACAGAGTATATAAAGTGTGATGTGAAAGATCTGTCATTCTCAAAACAAGGGGAGGTGGGGAGAAATTACCACTTTCTCTTATTAATTCTGAGTATCAGGCAATTTCAGTTGAACTAGAAATACCAATTTCCAAATACTTCAAGCTAATCTAGAATACACTTAGTCTTTCAATGGCCAACTTTAAAAGGGCTAATCAATGCCCAATGGGCTTTAATTGCATTAAAATCCTAGAGTGTAAAATTTCTATAGACTTAAAAAAGGAACAAAGAACCTTGAAATCACAAGTGATATTCTATAACATAATCTCTTATACAAAGGACTAGTTGCAAGTAGTTTATAATAAGCAAAATAATAATAATAATAATACCCTTACAAGTCAATCAAGAGGTACAATACTTCAGTTACTTATTACCTCTGCCACTCTCTTTGTTGTGGTGAGAGATCAAATATTACCTGTAATAAAGGAAAATAATCAACAGCAAAGTCAAAATCTTTGGTTTTCACAAAAGAAAAATTATTATGGATAGATAAAACACTTTAAAAAAGGTTTTACTGATGTCTTTTGTTTTTATATTAGTCACTCCCAGATAAAATCCCATCATCCATTGCTCTTTTAAATAAATGAACAAATGAATAAACAAATGAGTGAATGAATGAACAGAAATGAATGGACCTTCCTCTTGAGGCTGTTGCGAAGATCAAATGACATAATGCTCATAAAGTACTTTTTAAACCTTTAAAGTATCATATAAGAAGACAGCATAATATAGTGGAATACATTGGTTCTAGAATCAAAGGACCAGAATTTGACTGACACCTCTGACCCTCTCTCTAGCTTAATATTTGTGTGGACAAGGAACTTAACCTTCTTGAGCCTCCCTTTCCTCATTTGTAAAGCCCCATTTGCAAAATGAGGGAACTGAATTAAATAACCTCTGAGGTCCCTTCCAGCAGTAGCTCTATGTCATATGATCAGAAGCATCAGCTTCTTTTTTGGGGGAAGGGGAAGGAGTAGAAGAGATGAAGAGGGAACTATAATTTGCATGGGGTACTAAGAACGGCAATGATTTGCCAATAGTCACAGAGTTCTACTTGTCATTTCTAGGTCTACCAGATTTCAAATCGGGTCCTCAATCCACTAGTCAAAATCTGCTTCTCTTTGTTTTGAATAAAAATTCTATTAATAAAGTAAATGCCATATTGTTTTGGGGGAAATAGACAAAACTAGATGAAACTACAATATTAATCAAAAGGGTGTCTTACATGGATTAAAATCATATAAAACACTGTTAATCTTCAAAAAACCAAAAACACATCAGAGTTTTTGCTTAAGTACAAATGCGAAAAGTACTCAAGTGAGGTTAAAGTTTTATTGTGGGGGAGGGATTTTGGTCTGGCCCCGGATCTCATCAGTGTGAAAAGTGTGGAAACTTAAGTATAGCACCATAATTCTTAGATTTGTAAGTCAGCTAGGGTACTTTTCCCCATCAACTCAAAGTAAAAATTATGGCCACTTAAGGAACAAAAGGAAAAAAATATATACTTTCAATAGGATCTGATGTTTGTGGACATAATTTAATTGTTTGAAATGCTTATTAGATATAACAAAATGTGTCAATTCCACATTACATATTCCATGTTATTGATACCAACCTAGTTTTCTAAGCTAATCTTCCACTACTACTCTACATCATTTCCCACAAAAGACTAATCTAGTCAATACCACCTATATATAAACATTTCATTTCTATACTTTCTGATGCCATTTTCTTTATCAGGAATGCTTACCTGCATTTTTATTTCATGTAATATCTACCCCTTCAAGGCCCTGAGAGAGTCCTCCAATAAGCCTATCAGATCACTCCAGGACACAGTGATATCCTTAACATTTGCACCACCCAGTCAGCATTTAATCATATACTGCCTAGTAATGTTTCTTGGATGTAATCTTGTGTTGTTTAACTACTGTGGAAGCATGCTAAAGTCACCACCCCTCCCTTTTAGAAATACTAATAAAGTATTTTCTAATTATCTTAGTCTGAAGCCTTCAAAACCAATGTGAAAGAGAAACACTCTTATCAGTCTTTTTTCTAACTATAAATTCCCAAAAAAGGTCCTATTCCCCCTCTCAGATCAGCCCAGGAAGGACTCCTCCCTTGGAAGTAAGGCAGTAAACAAACAAGTAAGAAGGCAAAGGACCTTTGACTGATCAGATCAACCTATGAGTAGTAGCTGCTTTCCCAAAGTCCTGAAATAATGATCCACCTAAGAGAAGTCTGAAAAGTCTCTTTTTGAGGAAGTGGGGGTGGGGGAGTGAAGACAAGAGGGAAAGGGAAGGAAAGGGAGATACTGAGGAAAAGACCACAGAGGGGCTGAGTGTTTCTTGTTTTGGGGGGTTTTTTTGGAAAATGATTTCCCAAGGGCATCCCAAAAGATTAAATGACTACTATTCTGTTTGATGAAGCAAAATGTTAGGTTTTATCATATTGTAATACTTCCTCATTAGAATCTTATAAAGGGACTTCCAAGATGATTTATGTGGAAAGATGTCCAAGGGTAGAAAGGAATTCAGTCAGTTAAGATATCACTCCCTAAATTTATTGTCTTCACCAAATCCTTCAATCATACCACCCACCCCTCAGTACTATGTCAGCCTTTACCTCTGCTCTGACTCTACTGTTTCCAACAAAGGAAACTCTTCCCAAACTCAGCCCTACAGTTAAATAGTTCAAGTCACACTGTTTTCTACTTTCAAATTCCTTACCCCCTTGACCACGGCTTGCTAAATTACAATATTACTTCCACCATTCACATTCTCTGTTCCTACTCACATGTTAAGGAACAAAGCCAGAAAAAGTCACAGTTGACTGGGTATAGTACAACTTTACATTTTGGGAGAAGTCATTCACAGATGACTGGGTCCACTATAAATTTATATTCTCTAATTTCAACTGAGAGGATAGGCAATTGGGAAGTCTTACGAATTTTGAGTTAAGAAGAGAAATTTTGGAATAGCATTTATGGGATATAGGATGGAAATTAATTAGGAAAGAATAAAAATCACCTTGCTAAAGGGAGACCCAATTGATGTATACAGGATAAATTGGAGATAACCTCAGAGGGAAGGCCCTAAGAGAGGCTTTTTTGCAGAAGATGGAATATGAAGGAAGCAAGTGAAGCCAGGGGGCAGAGATGAGGAGGGAAGAGAACTCCAGGCACAAGAGACAGCCCATGGAAATGTACAGTTGGGAGACAAGAGTACCTTGTTTGAGATCAGTATTAAAGGATCACGCAGCATATAGAAGGATGTAAAATATGTAAAGATAGGAAGAGGACCTATTGTGAGTGTTTTAAAAAATGGAGAGCTTTATATTTGATCCTGGAGGTAATAGGTAGTCACCAGAGTTAATTAAATAGGGGTGTGATATGGTCCTTTAGGAAGATCCCTTTGATAGATAAGTGGAAGATGGTTTGGAGTGGAGAAGGCTTGAGGTAGTAAGACCAACCAGCAGGCTACTGCAATAGTCCAGGTTTGAGGTGATGAGGGCCTGCACCAGGGTGGTGGCAGTGTCAGAGGAGAGAAGGAAACGTAAAGGAGAAATATTATGAAGGTAAAATCGACAGGATTTGGCAAGTGATAAATTGAGAGGATGAACAGTAAGAGAGAATGAGAAGTTGAAGATGATACCAAGGTTGAGTCATGGGTGACTGAGAGAATAGAGAAAATCTTCAATGTAGGGGAAAGATAAGTTCAATTCCAGACATGTAGAGTTGCGATGACTTTGATAGACTTAGCTCTTCTCAGCAATGCAAGAATCTTAAGACATCTCCAAAAGTCTCAAGATGGAAAATGCTAACCACATCCAGAGAAAGAATTATGGAGTTTGAATGCAGATCAAAGCATACTATTTGCTCTTTTTTTTCTTCTGTTTTGTTTCTTCATTTTTGGGGTTCCTCCTATGGGTTCTAATTCTTTACAACATGACTAATGTGAAAATACATTTAACAGGAATATATATGTAGAGTCTATATCAGATTGTACACTGTCTTGGGGAAGGAAGGAGGTAGGGAGGGAGGGGGAGAAAATTTAAAACTCAAAAGCTTATGGAAGTGATTGTTGAAAACTAAAAATAAATTTAAAAAAAAAAGAGATAATTGGTAACCTTTGGAGGGTTAAGTTTCATTTGAATGATGAGGTCAGAAGCCAGAATGCAGGTTTTGAAAAGAAAGGAAAGGAAGTATAGGAGGATTTCTAAAGTTTGGCCATGAAAAGGAAGAAAGACAGAAGATGACAACTAGTAGGGATGGTAGGATCAAGTAAGGGGTTTTTTTTAAGGATGTGGGAATGTTTTTAGAAACAAAATGTTTCTAAAACATTTTTTCTAAAACAGATGTTTTTAGAAACAAAAAAGGTGCAGGCAGATAGGGAGAAATAAAGGTAGTAAAGGCAATTTGCTAGAGAAGTCAAGATGGGGTGAGATCAAGGGAGTACAGAGAGATATGGTCCTCTCCAGGGAGATCAGCCTATTGTGGTTAAGAATACTGCCCAGATTAAGACATACAGTCCACCATCTGTCTTGGACAGGCATTGCAGATGGACAGTGAGTGGGGCCCAAACATGAACCCATTGGGGTGGGGGACTGGATTACAATTAGGAAATTAGTGCTTTTAAGGACTCCAAGCTGTTCTCTGACACAGAAGACCATCTATATTAAAAGCATTATTTTTTCCAAAACTGCTGGGAAAATAGAGCTATCAAAATTACAGATGATTCAAGGGGAGCAGAAAGATGCAGGTTAAATAGGCTATAGGTTATTACATACAAGGTTATGAAAAGTAACAGATGCACAGGCCAAATACTATAATCGTTTCCATAAATTGCTGAAAGACCTAGAGGAAAGCCTCCAACACACTGAGCAGATCTTTTATGAGGATTTATGAAAGAGCATAGAAAAGAATTGTCCAGGATGAAACACAGGTAAGTTGTAATACACAGTGGTGGTAGGATTCACTACACCAATGAAATCAGATAACCTCTGAAACAGTGTTAATTAACTTTTGTGGGTTTTCTCCCCATCTGCTTCATAAACTTTAAAGTGGTACTATGTGCCACATTTCTATTGTGTCATGAGCTACACATAATATAATGCAGAAAGTAAGCAAGGAATAAATGTAATATCTAAGACCATACTGTCTACATTAAGGATCAGATCAAAAGAATGAACTAGAAGAGATTTCCTATAGAGATTTGGTCCATACTCCTACATTCAGGTAAGCAAACATGTTAACACAAAGACAACAATTTATCTATTCCAGGAGGCAAAAATATTTTTAAAGTGGTATGTTAAAGTGGGAGAGTTTTACTTAGTCACACTAACTCCTAGTGAGGTAGAAATGCATGCTGGCTACCAATTCATGAGGCCAATATCCTTAAAGTAGCAGGGAAGAAAAGAAGTTATGAGTATACCCATCTTCCTTGAGACATCAATATCTTTGAGACAGCCAACTCTAGTCTGTCCTATTTTAAAAAAAAAAAAAAAGAATTCAACTGCTTTTTATAAGTGATAACTTGGCAATCAAGAAATTTAACTTTGTCTTATCATTATCCTTATCAATAAAATGGCATAGTGGAATAAGCTCTGAATTTGAAGTCAGAAAGACTTACATTTAAAACCCCACCACAGCACTTACTACAAACCTTAGTGTACTTATTAGGCACTGAGGACCAAAAAAAGTGCTTTAACATTATGGAGTTTACAGCCTCTTTGAGAAGGTAGTAGCTGTACATAAAAGAATAAAGCATTACACCACATTTAATAAATATTGAAGGTAGTAAATCATGTGAACAAACAAAATCACGAATACTTAATTCCATTTTTAGTTAGGTATGGAAAAAACATGACTGATTTGTTCCTCATAAAAATCAATTATAAAGTTAAAATCAGACTATAAATACAAAATTACCTGCCTTCTCTTCTCTAAACTACAGTGCCCCACTTATTTTAACCTTCTGTCATAGGAATCATTTTTCTGTCCCTTTAATGACCTATTACTCTTCTCTGAACTCATGACAGTTTTCCCATATGTTTTAAGTGTGGTGGCCAAAAGCAGACATATATTTGTGTTTTTTTGTCTATTTTAAGAGGCATACATGGTGGCTCTAATTTGGGAATATTTTCTGACCACAACTGGATACTTCCAGCAATTTAATATTTTTTTCAAATATTCAAAATATAAGAATTTGAAATGAATAATAAATTTTTCCCCAACAATTTTATATGAAAAATAGAGGAGAAAATTAAGTGTTTTTAAAGATGATTTATTTATGGGAATTTTTGGGGGGGGGGTGAGGCAATTGGGGTTAAGTGACTTGCCCAGGGTCACACAGCTAGTGTCAACTGTCTGGTCGGAGACCAGATTTGAACTCAGGTCCTCCTGACTCCAAGGCCGGTGATCTATCCACTGCACCACCTAGCTGCCCCTATGGGAATTTTTAATAGCATAAATTAAAAACTTTAAAGCAATGGACATAACTTTTACTAAACGGAAAAAAATTTCACGTCTATACACAGTGGAGTCCTAGCTAAATTAGTTAGATTTAATCAAATCTACATTCCAAGAAGAGAAATAGTCTACTCTTCTAAACACTGAGAATATATAAAAAGTACTTGAAAGTTTTCAATGAAAAATTTTCTAGTATAACTAAAGAAACATATACTGAACACCTACTATATAGGAAGTATGATGCTAGGCAATTTAGGGAATATAAGTGTTTAAGCCTTCAAAGAATTTGGAACCTGGCTGGGAAAATAAGACAGACATGTGAATAGGTAATTAAACAATATCAGGTCATATAAGCACCAAATATAACATATTCCACAAGAGTTTAGACAGTAAAGAAAATCTGAAACATGTTTTGAAAAAACTGTTGAAGAAAACTTACTGATTCATAAACTAGACCATCCGCAGCTGCAACCATTGTTTCTGCTAAATCCAATACATCAGCTCCAACATCTGTATAAAAGGAAGTATTAACATGTTTGCATTCTATACTCAATCAGAAACAAAATATATAGAAAATATTAGAAAGTGAGAAAGAAAAAATAAAAGACATGGTTGTAAAATCACTTCCTACACTGCTAACATTTTGCTCAAAAGCTACAAATTGCAAGATTACAAGACTCAAAGATCTGCGGTATCTTTTTCATTTCTTCCCTGGTAAACTGATGATGCAGAGATCTATATAATATAAATTTTTATTAAACCAAAGGATATCTAACACACCTATTGAATAATTGTTTTACATGATACCAAATATAAGAATCATATTAAAAACTAAAACAAATGTCTTTTAAATTTTTTAGTCTCTTTTAAGTCATATCTGATTCTTTGTGACCCCATTTGGGGTTTTCTTGGCAAAATACCAGAGTGGTTTGTCATTTCCTTCTTCAGTTCATTTTACAAATGAGGAAATTGAGGCAAACAGGGTAAAGTGACTTGCCTAGGTTCACAGAAGTAGTAAGTGTCTGAAGCCAGATTTGAACTCAAGAAGATGAATCTTCCTGACTCCAAGCCTGCACTCTATCCACTGTGCCACCTAGCTGTCCCTTTTAAATTACCCTTCTGCTTTAAAGAAATATTATTTAAAAATAATTAATTTTGAAAAAAAGAAACGTCTTTTGATATGTGGTATGAAAACACTCCCACATAAGGCAATAGGTACAACCAAGTAAATAAAATATCAACCATTCAGAATCAAACACTGGTACAAAAACTATCACCTTTCAGTGTATAGATAAGTTTAGGTACTCAGCTTCACACATCCCTTCATCAAATACACTAGTATATACCTGACATATCTTCTTATCAACCATAGGATGAGGTCACTGAAAAATAAGAATTGGTAAAGAACTTGTCCAAAATGAAATTTTTTGGGACTTCTCCAATTCCATAATGTTCTCTGATACCTTTTAAAAAAAAAGTCCTCTAATAATGGAGTTTTTACTTCCTGTCTTTTAATCAAGAGGAAACTCAAGCATATTTTCTGTGTAAAGGCTTCCCCATTTTGTGAAACAACCTTAACATGAAAAAAATTGCCTACTTTGTAATACATATATATATATAAATTTCTACAACTTGTACAAGTATCACTAAGAAAATAACCATGGAAACCACAGATGCTAACAGAATCATTAATTTACCACTTTTTTCAAAAAGATCTAGATTCCTGATATAAAGGAGGCCTATACATACAGAGGAGTAAGGTGAAGAGGTAAACAGGTGCATGGAATTTAATTAAAATTTTAAGTATTTCACCTCCCCAATCCTTTTATTTTGATGGTTCCTCATATGCCAATGATATATAACTACACTGGAGGAATTAATAGACTCCCTTCTTTAGAGGAGAAATAAAAGAAAGATTCTATGAATAAAGAGCCAAGTTGAAAATATTTCTACTATAGGAAACTGACAGCAAATTTGAATAATCAAATTAATCATGATGAAAATTAAAAAACCTAACAGGAAAAACAAGAAAGGGAAAATGAAATTGCAATTGTTTAAAATAAAAAAGCACTCTGAGTCATCAAACAGAAGAGATACTTACACTGACACTTCATAGCCACAGTAATATCTACATTTATTCTTAATTTGCTGGAAGACAAAAACAAAAAACAAAAAACAATTCATTGACAAATGCCCACATGCAATAACAAAGGTACATGGAAGTAGTCTGGTATAGTGGAAAGAGTATTCACTGATTTCAGAGTCAGAGGACTGGCAGTCCAAGCTTGTCTCTATCACTTTTAATAGGTGTGTGACACTTTACCTTTTATGGCCTGTTTCCTCATCTTTAAAATATGGGAGCAACTACATGGCTCTAAAGTCCTTTCTAACACTAAATCTATGATCCAGGGTCCTAAGTATGGTTAGATTCAGAAGTACATGGAAAATTTTAGATTTCCAACAGAATTAAATATGGCTGAATTAGTAGTATCTCTAGCATTGAGAGCAAGATAGTTTAAAGTCAGTTATGTTTTGAAATCATTCCAAAGAATTTTTTTAGCTTCACAGGTTTTGGCATTTTTATCTCTAATAATCATAATGGTAAATATAAGAGCAAGAACGCTAGGTAACTCTTAAAAAAGCAAACACATTCTGAACAGTAACCTTCTAAAATAAAGTTCTTTGTAAGTCTATACAATTTAATTCAAATGATAGTGATACAGTTAAACCCCTAGAAAACAAAATATTCCCTGAATACACTTTGCTTTAAAAAAAAAAAAAACTTATACCAAATGAATTATCAAGATGCACTGTAAATAATCAAATAAAAGACTGAACCCACAGTCAAATGCCCTATGGCAGAGGTATTGTCATACCTTGGCCTGCTGGCCAAGTAAGTCAGCAAATTCAGCTTGAACCAGATTAAAATGAAATTGGGAAATGTGTGACAAAATAAATAAAAATACAATAGAACACAGATTATATTAATTTGTGGTTTTCTAAACGAATTTGCAGTCCACAGGGAGTTTCTATTTGAGTTTGACACCCCTGCTCAACACTACGCTGCCTCAAATTTGATACTTTTACTTAGATACATGCTATTATCAGTGTGGATGTTACCTCCACTTGTACAAGTCATAACTATTCTAAGCCTTCTCAATCAAGTACCCCACTGATGTTTCTCCCATCAATCTCTTTTTGTTATGTGCCACAGAAGGACTAACCAACATATTGGTTCTTAATATGAACGGGGTTGAATATATCCAGGCTGTCTATTTATTACTGATTTCTTTCTACATGATCTACATACTTCCCTTTTCATTTACTCAAGTCCTTTCTTTTCTATTACTTCTCATTCATAAGTTCTCTCTTTGTTAATATAATATACTACAACCTGGTTATATCCCATCATGTGTCTTCTCAGTAAAGTCATTTGCGATTTTGATTGTTTTGACATCATAGTAGTACATGATTCACAGCCAAATTATCACTAAGAGAAAACTGATGTTAAAGAAATATTTTTGAAGCAGCAAGCACCTCAAGATCACTGAATGTCAAAATCTAGGTAATATGTGCTTTTCAACGAATACTTTGTTCTTCCAGTGTAGATGGTTAAACTAATATCACTCTTCAGAATAATTATGTATTTTATTGGGGACGCTTTGTTTCTGGGGTTGATGCAATTGGTACATCTTTTTGGCATATCTTTTGTTACTAGAAACATTTGGAGAACCTTGTCATGAATGGTAACTCTTCTTTTGTGGGAGGGGGCCTGGGCAGAACTAGGTAGCACAATGAACAGAGCACTGGACCTGAAGACAGGAAGATTCAAGTTCAAATTTAGCCTCAAACACTTGTTCACTATGTGACCCTGCATGTCACTTAACCTCTGTTTGCCTCAGTTTCCTAAACAGTGATAATCATAGCACCTGTCAGGTTGCTGCGATGATCAAATTAGAAAATACTTCTCAAAGAGCTTACAATAATGATCCAACCATTTTGGAGAACAATTTGGAACTATGTCCAAAGGGCTATAAAAATGTGCATACCCTTTAACCCAGCAATACCACTTCTAGGACTGTATCCCAAAGAGATCATATAAACGGGAAAAGGATCCACATGTACAAAAATATTTATAGTGGCTCTTTCTGTGGTGGCAAAGAATTGGAAATTGACAGGATGCCCATCAATTGGGGAATGGCTGAACAAGTTGTGATATATGAATGTAATGGAATATTATTGTGCAATAGGAAATGATGAACAGGCTGACTTCAGAAAAACCTGGAAAGACTTGTATGGTCTGATGCTAAGTGAAGTGAGCAGAACCAGGTGAACATTGTAGACAGTAACAGCCATATTGTGCAATGACTAGACTTCGCTCTTCAGATCTAAAACAACTCCAAAAGTCTCATGATGAAAAATGCTATCCACATCCGGAGAAAGAACAATGGAGTTTGAATGCAGATCGAAGCATACTATTTGTTCTTTTTTGTTTTTCTTATTTTGTATTGTTTCTTCTTTCTTGTGGTTCCTCCTATGGGTTCTAATTCTTCTTTACAACATGACTAATGTGAAAATGTGTTTAAGAGGAATGTATATGTAGAGCCTCTATCGGATTGCCCACTGTCTTACGGTGGGAGGTAGGGAGAGAAAATTTAAAACTCAAAAGCCTATGAAAGTGAATGTTGAAAACTAAAAATAAATTAATTAAAAAAAAAAAAGGAGCTTACAATAATGCCTGTAACACAGTAAGTGCTTAATAAATGCTTGTTCCATTCTTTCCTTCCTAGACAAGACAACCTAATGAAAAACACTTTCAGAGGACCTGCATTCAACTTATCACCTGTGTGACACTGAGCAAGTCATTTAACTTCTGAGTCTAAATTCCATCACCTATAAAACGAGTGGTTTGAATTAAATGATTACTGATGATTAAATTGAATGATTATTTCAAGTTCTAAATGCATACAACTATGAAATCTTAAGAAAACACTTTCAAGTCTCTGTTTTACAACTCATAAACGCTTAGGATATTGATGAACAAAGTTATCTCATAAGATCATAAACCTTATAAGTTAAGCCATTTATTTTATACCCAGGGTCACACAACTACTTAAATATCAAAGGAAGTATCTGAAACTCGGTTCTTCTGACTGTAAGTCCAGGGTCTTATATACTATGCTAAACTGCCTCTCAAACAGCAGCTCCAAGAACTTAAGAAACATCTGTCATAAAATCTTATATTACTCAAAAACGTGCATAGAAGACACCTTGTTTGTTAAAAAGAAAAAGCCTTCAAAGTCATATTTTATTATATTTCTCAGTTTTATGATTTTAAGATGAATTCTGCTACAGAACAAATGTATAAAGCCTGCCTGGATCCCTTCTCAAATTTTCATCAAAGGTACACTGCAAAAAATAATCACCTTAAGATTTTACACTGATGCAAAAGCAAGCATACAGTTTGGTTGTTGCTGACATCTTCCTGGTCACCTCCCCCTTACCACTCCCTACCCCAACCAAGGAACATCTTCAATCTTTTCCATTCTTTAGAATATTCCCTTTTTTGAGGAATCTTGAAAACTAATCCTATAATGACTTTAAAATTATGACACCTCCAGCCTGGATTTCTTCTATATATATTTGATCAGGATCAGCCATTCCTCCTAACTTTATCTTATGGGCCCAATGCCATGTCCCCATACAGTGAAGTAGTAGAATTCAAAAGCAGATACTATTATCTCTGATATACCAGGTTATGAAAATATCAACCAATCTATTTCATTTCATATCTATTCATTATTCTCCTCCTGAGTCCACTTGCTCTTAGATGATAGCGCTCAGCAAGATTTAACAACTCTCACGCGTAGTTAATTTAGCTTTTTGTAATGTAGTTGTGTTCACTATTTCAGTTCAATTAAACTCAAAACATTTATTATGCATCTATGTATGTATGTATGTATGTATGTATGTATGTATGTATGGCCATTTTTCTAAGCACAAAGATGAAAATGAAATAATCTCTGCCCTTAAGGAGCTTACATCCTAATAGGTTTATAAGAAGGCTATTGCAATAGTACAAGAGAGAAACTGTGAAAGTCTGAACTATCCAGTATAGATACAAATATATAGTGGAAGCAGAATCAACCATCTTGATAACTGATTGCAGTATCTGGTCCAAGTGGGAGAAGGCAGAGAAAGAGGCCTAGGGAGAGTCAAAATGACTCGGAGTTAACGCACCTAAGTGACCGGGAAAAAGGTAGGCAGCTTGATACAATGGAAAGAGCACCAGTTCTGGGGTCAGAGGACCTTGGTTCAAATCCAGTCTCTGATAATTCCTACCTATGTAACATAAGGCAAGTCACTTAACCACCCTTGGCCTTGGTTTCCTTATCCGTAAAATGAGAGGACTGAATTAGATGCATTCCAAGGTTCCTTCCTTAGAAGGAATTACGATCTATGTTCCTACAAAGTTCAAAGAAAGGGTGAATTTAGGGGAAATAAGTTCAGTTTTGGACATACTCAATTTGAGTTTCCAATAGAACACAAGGGTAGAAAGGTACATCGAGTAAGGTAGTTGGCAACAAAGGACTAGAATCAAACAGGAGCAATTACAGCTGGATTTGTAGACTAATGAATTACCAGGCACAGATAATACCAAGAATATTTGAACATAAAGGAAGTGACAAGATCACCAAGGGTAAGAGCATAAATAAAGGAAGAAAGAGATATCTGCTTCTTTTGTAAAAATCTTCCCTGGAAGAGCCTTGAAAAACACCCATTTTTAGAAGGTGGGAAATTTACTGACTGACTGGTACCATCATCCATCAATCAACAAACATTTATAAAGTACCTACTATGTGCCAAGCACTGCACTAGAGACTAGAAATACAAAAGGAAACAGTCCTTGCTTTCAAGGAGTTTATAATCTATCAGAAGAGACAATAAAGACATAGTACAACAAGTTACTAGTTGCTGGATAATGAGGAAAAGTTTCAAGCAGAAGATGGCACTTAAGCTAAGTTTCAAAGGAGAATGGAGATTCTAAGAAGAACAGACATTCTAGGCACTGGAGGATGACAACCAATGCGAAGGCATGAAAACGGAAGACCCTGTAGTGTCTAGCAAAGAAGATTTTAGGAGAAATACAACAGTGCTAAAAGAGGAGCAATTTAAACTGAACTGAAATGACACACAGAACATAATTCCACGGGTGAAGCTAGCAACTGGCTCCCTTCAGTATCACACAGCTTCTGCCACTAATTGCCTGAGACTCAGGATAACAGTTATAGCAAATGACTGCAGGGAGTGGATACAAACTGAACTCATTTTCAGAGACAGTACTGTCATCTCGAGATGGTGAAAAATGAGACGCACAAAGAAGATAGCCTGAACATGATGTTCAATTGGCTCCTAATCTGAACATATGCTCTTTGGCATGCAAGGCTAAGGTCCTCTGATAGGCATGCCAGGAATCTCTGACAGGTGTAGATACCTTTTAATACAGGCCAAAGTGCATTTTTCTCCTTCCTAAAGAAAATATTAGTAATAGGTTTGAGTTTTATGAGTATTTCACAAATTTTTAGTCTCTTACTTCGTGATTCCCAAATCACATTTTCCAATATAATATTCAGGACTATCCCCATGCCCATTTTCACATTGAAGTGACTGAGCATCATAGTTAACTTAGAAGATCTAGTTCAATTCTTCATGGAATTTCTCTATTCCTTCATTTTAGTTGTTTCAGTTGTGTCCAACCCTTTGTGACCCCATTTGGGCTTTTTTTGGCAATGATTTTACAGATAAAGGAACTAAAGGCAAAGAAGGCTAAGTGACTTGACCAGGGTCACAAATCTAGTAAGTGTCTTAAGTCAAATTTGAACTCAGGAAGAGGCATCTTCTTAAATCCAGGCCCAGGACTCTATCCATTGTACCAACCAGCTGCCCCTGGTCATTGTTTTAACCATTTCTTAGTTCCAACATGTTGTAGTTAAGTAATTTTTTCAATCGTGTCCAACTTTCTATTGGTTTATAAACTTTCATTGCAAAATCATCACATGGTATAAATCTGTTCATCATGCCACTTAAAAGGCAAACAGAACAGCAATGTATTCACCAGTGGCATATGGACATCTATTTATCTCTTGCACATTGTGAGCCATAAGCCTAGAATTCTCAGCACATACACATTGTCAGTATATTTCTGAAAGTCAACTTGTGTGGTTTGTTTAGAGGACTACAGTACTAATGATATTGTCACTTAACCCAATGAAGAGCCATAGGCACAAGGGGCAGGCAGGTGAAACTGCTACGAGTAAGTCATGTGATATGGTCAGACTTGCATTTTCCTGTGCTAACTAAACTGTACAGTTTGTCTGCCAACTATACGTTAACATGCAAAGCATTTCTTTCTGATTATGGATAAATATAAAAACTATTCTGCAGGTTTCAAGCTAAAAGTAATTGTGTTCGCTGAACAGCATGGAAACAGCTGAGGAAAGACAGTTTTCAGTGAGTGAAAAGTTGCTGTGAGACTGACAGAAACTAAAAGACAAGTAATACTGGCACAATTTAAAAAAAAAAACTTCATGTAATGGCCACACCCCACTTTTTGCATAAAATCAGCAACGATTATGTGGTGAAATACAGTATTATAAGGGAAGATAACTAAAGGTGCCAGAAAATGATATTTCCTGTTGCCTTTGGGTACTTAATGCAGAAAATACTTCTTTTCTTTGCCTCAAAAAGAATTAATGAGGTATCCTTTCACTTGGTTGCAATTTCTTATTTTCTGATTTCAGTTGCTATGAGACTGTTGATGGAAATGTGACTCAATTCCTCAACTAGATGGTTACTGGACGAAGACACAGATTAAGAGTGCCAGCAGTTAAACTGATATTTCTAGATGATCTAGGAACTATGTAAACATTGGTACCCTGTATCCCTTTTTAAAGCCATGCTACCACTCACTGCAGGAAAAAATACTTTGATCTAAAGAACATTTTGAATTTTTGTCCATCTGATTTGTCACTTTAGTCAAAAATTATCTGTTTCTGTTGGCCCGGTAACAAGCCTCTCCACATCTGACTAAGCTGGTCTTCCTACAGGAGAGAAAATCTTTCTCCTAATTTGTACAACACGTCTTTCTAGCTTGGAAGAAACTGGTATAGGCAGGCTCAGCATCATACTTAATGCCATAATGAAGTATCCAAGGTGTAAAAAATTCCAAGAATGAAAAAGTTAATGCTATCACTAAAAGATTACAATGATACCTTAATATACACACCAGATATATTTCAAAAGGAAAGCTGTTTAATACACAGGCATACCTCAGAGATATTGGGAGTTTGGTTCCAGACCACTACAATAAAGAGAATACTGCAATAAAGCAAGTTACACAAATCTTTTGGTTTCCCAGTGCATGAGTTTTGTTTACACTATACTGTAGTCTATTAAGTGTGCAGTAGTACTATATCTAAAAAATGTACATACCTTAATTAAAAATTATTTTATTGCTAAAAAAAAAATTTCTAACCATCATCTGGCCCTTCAGAGAGTCATAATCTTTTTGCTGGTGGAGGGTCTTGCCTCAATGTTGATGGCTGCTGACTGATTAGGGTGGTGGTTGCTGAAGGCTGGGGTGACTATGGCAATTTTTTTTTAAATCATGTAAAATATATCTCCATATTAGTCATGTTGTGAAAAAAAAAAAAACATGAAAAAAATAAAGTGAAAATAGTATACTTCAATCTGCATTCAGACTCCATCAGTTATTTCTTCGGAAATAGGTAGCATTTTCCAACCTGAGTCTTTTGGAATTGTCTTGGATCATTGTATTGCTGAGAAGAGCCAAGTCAATAGCCGATCACTGCAAAACACTGCTGTTACTATATACAACGTTCTCCGGGTTCTGCTTCCTTCAGTTTGCATCACTTCCTGTCTTTCCAGTTTTTTCCGAAGTCTGCCTGCTCATCATTTCTTATAGTACAATAGTATTCCATTGTATTCATATACCACAATATTTGTTCAACCATTCCCCAACTGAAGGGCATCACCGCAATTTCCAATTCTGTCGCTGTGGCAATTTCTTAAAATAAAACAAAAATGAAGTCTGCCATATTGATTGACTCTTCCACAAAAGATTTTTCTGTAGCATGCGATGCTGTTCGATAGCATTTTACCCACAGGATAACTACTTTTTAAATTGGAGTCAATGCTCTTAAATCCCTCCACTGCTTTATCAACTAAGTTTATGTAATATTCTTCAATACCGTTGTATCTCAGGGAATAGGGAGGCCCAAGGAAAGGAGAGAAATAATAGTTGGGCAGTAGAGCAGTAAGAACAAATGCAACATTTATCAATTAAGTTCACTGCTATATAGGCACAGTTTGTAATGCCCCAAAACAACTACAATAGTAACATCAAAGAACACCAATCAGAGGTCACCATGTCATATATAAAATATAATAATAATGAAAAAGTTTGAAATACTGCAAAAATTACCAAACTGTAATACAAACACAATGTGAGCACACATGGTTAGAAAAACGGCACTAGATAGACACAAACCTTCAATTTGTAAAACAAACAAAAACCACGTCGGCTGCGAAGCACAGTAAAATGAGGTATGCCTGTACCCTCCGGCTCAGAATACTTAAATTTTTTCAGTCCAGGAAAAAGGCTAGAATTCTCTGAAGACAGAATCAAAAGCATTTGAAAAGGAAGGTAGATAATAGCACTTATCTGAATATGACTGACATGCTATGCATTAGAAAATCTGAAATAAGCCAAGTAACAGGAATCTCTGGTTACTTAAATGTGCTACAAAGGCCTATTTTTTGTATCAAAGTATTCTTATAAGGAAACAAATATATTTGTAAAAATAAGAATCCCATACTGAATTTTTGTGCAATCAGAACTGAGCTGTAAATGACTTGAAATATCTAGCTATTTTGACATATTATAAAAAGGATTATTTGGATATATGAATAATAAAGCTGATTAAATGTGAAAAGAGTCTCTTTAAACAGATGCATATTAAATTAGAGAACAAAGAACATTTATTTCTTGGCAGACTAACTATATATAGACCAACTGTGAAAGGTTTAATTCTGATAATATTAATCTAATACTACATGCAACTGAATGAGGGGAGAAGAGGATATGATGTCATTTCCTTAGCAAAATATCAGATGAACATTAAATGTAATTAATTTTATAGCTTTCTATACAAACATATTTTCCCTCAGAAGAACTAAACAAGTATTAATACACTCTAAAAAGATTTCAAAAAGAAAATGTTACCTAGAAAAATCCTTGTCTACTTCATATTCGTACTTCATCCAAGTATCTTGATATACTGAAAACTCCATTATGGTTAACAAAGCCATTGTAGTAAATGCTATTAGAGAAACTAAGAAATTAAGAAAAAAAAATGAGTTAAGTAAAAGAGCATAATTTAGTTAATTTATAGTAAGCTTTAAATGAATATTTCTGGTTTTTAATATACTTTCCTTAAAAATCAGAATATATAGCTTTTGAAAAAAAATCTAAAAACTATTAAATGATCAATATTAATGACTTTCAAATGCATTCATAGACCACTTTTTAACTTTCATTTTAAGGGTTCTTATTAAACTAAATATAACCGGTCAATATGTTTACAAGACCACAAAATTTTCACTCTTCTTTCCATATAACAGTGACAATACAAATTTCCATAAATTAAAATTACATGGGTTATAGTATTTTTAATCTATAGTCTGCTTATATTTTTTTTAATTTTGAGGACATAGGAGGACGGGCAGATATTGTTGTTTTAAATAACTTGCCCTGATTTCTCCCATGCCTTTTAGAAAATTTACATGGCTGAAAGGCACAGAATAGCTCCAAAGCATAACCATAAGACTTTTTCCTCTGCCCTAACATCTGGCAATCACATAAAAATGTTACTCCATATGCAAAGGAACAATACAAAGCCTGACTGAATACATATAATATGTCCATTCTTAGCATGTTAACAACAATAAAAGATCAAGACTGTATAACTGGAATTTGCAGTATTAATTTCATGGCAATGCAATCTGAAACTTTAACAGTATCATAATCAATTTTGTGCTTGTTATTTATGATGTCACTTTTTTTTTTTTTTTGGTGAGGGCAATTGGGGTATATGACTTGCCCAGGGTCACACAGCTAGTGAATGTTATGTGTCTGAGGCTGGATTTGAACTCAGGTGTTCCTGACTCCTGGGGGGGAAAAAAAACTCCACGAAAGAGAAAAGTATAAATACTATCATTCCCACTTTACAAATGAGAAAACTGAGGTACAAGGATGTACATTTAAGGTTCATAAAGCTAAATAAGTTCAGAGCCAAGAGTCAAACCTAGGGCTTCTGACTCTGAGACCAGGGTCTTTAACATGATGCCACAGTTACTCAAAGACTATATCTGAGAAATTTCACTACCATAAATAAGTTATAACATCTTTAATTTATATATAATTATCTATACTTGAAAAGAACGAACAGTTTAAATTTGATTGATTCCTTAATTCATTCACTTAATTATTCGTCACATTACATAATGTGTCCATTATTATAAATACTAGGAGGAAACATGAAGCATAACATATAAAGTCCTTGTCCTCAAAAAGTGAATCACCTTGTTAGAGCTACAAAGCATATCAGATAAGAGAAGATTCTGGGAAGATAGTGGAGTAGGTCAGAAAATTTCAAGCTCTCCATACTTTCCTCAACAAAAGAGATAAAATAGCACTTCAGGGTGAACATACAGAGGTGAAAACAAGTAAGAGTAGAGGTAGAAAAGGGACAATTGGAGAAGATTAGTAGAAAAATCCCTGGAGGAGGCTTCTTCCCCAGAAGAGGAAACACCTCCAGGCTAGGGACTACTTACACAATAAGCCTCAAGCCCTGGGGTTAGCTGGGTAGGGAGGCTGCCTCTGGCCCCAGCCCCAGGAACTTTAACCCCAGGGACAGTGAGGGGAGTTGGGCATCTGAGCTGTGAAAGGGAATCTCTGTTGACAAGGAACACCAGACTCAGCTGTGCTGGGGAGACGAGGTGGGGGCGAGAAGGAACTAGCACACACCTGGTGAGTGTAGAAGCAGTGGGGCGAGATGCCACTGGCTATGGGTACTTACAGCAGGCTAGAGGTCTTGGTTTGAGTTCAAGGTCAGAAGGGAAAACTGAAGAGGATCTGAGGTCAGAGGCACTATCACCCATACCCCAGGACTAGAGGTGATTATAAAAACTAAACTATTACCAAAAAAGAAAAATGCACAGGCAAAGGAGACAGAATTCAACCACAGAGAGCTACTATGGGAATAGAGAAGACCAGGGATCATCTTCAGAGGACAATGAAGCAAGGAAAACTTCTACCCCAAAGAGGAATGTCAAATGGTCACCTGCCCAAAAAGAATTCATTAAAGAAGACAAAAAAAGACTTTAAAAATCAAATGTCAGAGAAATTGAGAAAAACTAAAAAGAAAAATAAGAATAATCCAAGAAAAACAAGATTATGAAAAGAATGTGAACCAATTAGAAAAAGAGATTCATGAATCTTAAGGAAAAAAAACAACTCCTTGAAAATCAGAACTGGGCAAGGGGAAGTCAGTAAAGTTATAAGAGATCAAGAAATAATTAAACAAAATACAAAGAATGAAAAAATAGAAGGGAATGTGAAGCATCTCGTAAGAAAAACAACTGATCTAGGGAACAGATCAAGAAGAAAAAATATAAGAATAATCGGACTGCCTAAAAGCTATGATCGAAAAAAGAATCTTGATACAATAACACAAGAAATAATTAAAGAAAAATGTTCTGAAGCATTAGAACAAGAGCAGAAAGTAGAAATAGTAAAAAAAACTACCCATCACCACCTGAAAGAGATCCTACAAGGAACATCACAGTCAAATTCTGAAACCTCCAACTCAAGAAAAAAACATTACGAGCAACAAGAAAAAAACAATTTATATATGGTGATACCACAATTAGAATCACACAAGACCTAGCAGTGGCAACACTGAAAGACTGCAGGTCTTGGAACACAATATATTGAAGAGCAAAAGAACTGGGCTTCTAGCCAAAAATATCATACCCAATAAAGCTAAGCATAATTCTGAATGAAAAATTTTAAAAAAGGACATTTAATGAATTGTCAGACTTTCAAGACCTTATTAAAAAAAAACCCTAAACTTAATAGAAGATCTGATACACAAGAGCCCAAGAAAAATACAAGCGACAGACTCAATAAGGATAGACTGTTTACCTTTTATGTATGTAAAATGTAAAACCTATGTGTAAAATTGTTATTTGTAATTAGGTAGCTTATAAGAAAAATTGAGGTAGACCTGAGTATGATATGACTTCAAAAAGTAAAACTGTTCAAGAACAGCTAAAAGAGTAATTATCTTAAACAAAAGAGGTACAAGAGGCAGAACCAATACAGAGGAATTAGATGAAGGAGGAGGGGGGCTGGTAGTTCTAGAAACCTACTTTCGTCAGGAATGGATTCAAGAGGGAAAAATACATACACATCTAAAAGAGTATAAAAGTCTTCTAAATTTAGAAAGAAATAAAACTCTAAGAGGGGGAGGATAAAAGAAGGAATCTTTAGAAGGGAGGGTGAAGCAACAGGTTGAAAATGGGATACAAAAAGGTATTTAGATCAACGGTAATGGGAGAAGAAGGGAGGGATTCTTTAGAGTGGAAAATGAAGGAATAGGTCAAAGGGGGTGTACAAAAGGGTGTTTTGATTTATGGGAAGGGGAGGAATAAGGGAGGGATTGTTGTGGGGCAAACAGGTTATGTAATAGGAGGGCAAGGTAGCAGGTAGAAGAAAAGCAATAGGTCAAAGGGTCACATAAAAGGCTGTTTAGATTTAAGGGAATGGGAGGATAAGGGAAGGATTGCTGAGTGAGAGTAGGTTAAGTAATAGGAGGGCAAGGTAGCCAGTGGAAGTAAAATAGAGGAGTTAGGATGGGAAAAAAGAGATACGCACAAACATAAAAACAAAGATTAGGAGTAGAATCTCCTAAGGAAAGGATACGTTTATATATGTATGCATGTATATATGTGTATATATGTATAGGTGTATGTATATATTAACATCTATATATAAATATATCCACGCTTAATTGTAGCTGTGGGGAGGTGGAATAAGGAGGAAAAAAGAACAAAGTAAAAAGTGTACAGCAGAGAACAAAAGAAAACCTACAAGAAAGAAAAGACAGACACTTGGCAACATAACGCACAGTATTTAATACATAGGCTTTCTTAAAATGTAAAGTTATTATTATATACTTGGAATCTTCTACATTCTGCTGTGCCCATGACTGTTTTTCTCTTATTTTATATTTTAAGCTTAACATGTAAGTTTATAATGTTTTTTTATTATGTATTTAAATTTTAGTATTTATCTAAAATTAAAAAAAGATTAAAAAAAGAGGTGAAAGGTAAAAAAAAAAAAACAAAGCATATCAAATACACAGCCTTTTCCTATAATCCCCACTGCCTGAAATGCATTTGTCCTTTTCAGCTATTCAATACTTACCTGTCTTTTAGTGATCGGCTCAAGTCTTATGAAAGCAATTCTGACCACTGCATCTCACACTGATATTTACAAACTCAGCATTTATCTACTATTCTAACTATTTGGCATTTAATCATACACTGCCATTTATATCACTTGTGCCATCTACTGCTGCCATTTAATTTCTATATTTAGGTATGACCCTTAAATGTAATGACCCTGAGCCTCAGTTTTCTGATTTGTAAATTGTGAGTGGTAGTATTTGAACTCTCTCCTTCAGAGAGAAACAAAGCATAAACACATAAAAAATCTAAGTAATAGAAGAATTAAATAGCAATAAAAGATGGCACAAGTGATGTCAATGGCAGCGTATAATTAAATATCAAAAAGGTAGGATATGTCAATGGCAGTGTATAATTAAATACCAAAAAGGCAGGATAGCAGATAAATACTGAGTCCACAGATATCAATATGAGACGCAATGGTCAGAATTGGTTTAATAAGACTTGAGCTGATTAATAAAAGAAAGCTGAAAAGGATCACTGAAGGAATTTCAGGCAATGGGGATTTGGGCAAAATCTCAACAAAAGTGTGTATTTGATAGGAAAAATATTAAAATGGCCAGAATGGCAATTTTACATTGGGAAGTAATGAAGATAAGGTCAGTGACTGAGACCAAATTGTGGATAGCCTTTAACACCACTAAAGCACTAAAGAGTCATAAACTTTATTTTGTAGGCAACAAAGAGTCACTGAAGGTGTCTAAATAGGTGAATAACATGAAAACAAAGGGTGAGAAAGAGTGGAACAACCTAGAAGGAAACAATGAGGAAGCTATTCTGATAATCCAGTCTGACTAATGTCAACTTCTAGTGATTAAAAGGAATTGCCATTTGCCAGCTAATAATATACCCTACTGCTTTTAACTAAAAACTCTGGATAATCCAGGTAGTTAACTTGAAGTCTTTTTTCTTGTTTCTTTGCTTTTCAAAGTACTGAGGCATTACCAAATTTGGAACATTTCCACATTCCCTTGATCTTGCAAACAATTAAATAGTACCCTATTGAGTGTCATATTACATTCCCAAAATGCAAAAAGAGAATAGTGTCTGGGCATTGTTCTGACTTAGTATGTTTTATATTTGAAGCTTAACACATATAATTTTTAAATGATAGCTGGTAAAGCCAATCTAAATCTCAAACATCTGAATTTAAAAAAAATCTGTAACTTCTGTATGTTATACATTAAAATCGTTATCATAAAAACTGCTCTTCTGTAGTGTCAGATTATTGTCAAGTATACTCCAGTCAAACAAAACACATCTTAACTAGTCTATCTTTTCAAAATGTTGCATTTCTATACCATTGATTAGAAGTTAGAAAAGGGTTACAAGGTTTCTATTCATAAGCTCTATGTTTATACAACATCAAGAGTTTAAATTTTCAATGAAACCCACCTGTACCCCCAATTGCTGAAGTCTCTACATAGCTTACAGGAACCTTTGGAAAGGCATCCAATTCTTTAACCAAATTTAAGGTTTTCTTTCGACTCAGTCGCCTCATCTTCAGCAGAATCTTCCACTTCTTCCTTCATATAGCCACTCTACACATACAGAAACACACACACACACACATATATATATATATATATACACACACAGAGTTAGTGAGGGTTCTAAATATTTTTTTAAATCCCAACAAATATTGAATGTGAATGCACTGTGCTAGGCACAGGAAATACAAAAACAATAAAGTCCCTACTCATATAGTATAAACCTACATTACATTTGTATACATATACATATATACATACATACATATATATATAAATTATTCAGAGCTAGCAGAAGAAACCTTAGAAATTATCTACTCCACCTCATTTTACAAATGGCCCAGTGTTACTTAAGGTGACAGATTTGAACCAAAATTATATTTCCTTTTCCACTACACTTCTTCTGGTGCTATAACTCTAGAAATAAACATAAACTGTGGGATGCTACTTCCTAATTAAGGACTGCTAAAATATCTGACGTTGAAAACCAGAGGGACAAAAATCAAATTTTTAAAGTACAACATACCTTTTCTACAAAAAATAAACTCTTTGGAAAGCTTTAATATATGTAAAAATACAAGATTATAACTATAGAATTATAATTTCTAATTACATAGTACCTAATCTTTTAAAAGTCTAATTTTATTAAAAAGTAGCAAGTAGGGAGAAGATTCTAGGAAGATGATGGAGTAGATCAGAAAATTCTCCCACAAGCTCTCCAGATTTCTCCCACAAATGAGATAAAACAGCACCTCAGGGCAAACATACAATAGTTAAAATAAATAAGAGTAGGGGCAGAACAGTGGTCCTCTTGGGACAACTGGAGAAGATCTGAAGAAAAATCCCAGGATGAGGTTTGGTCCCTGTAAAGAACTAACACCTCCAGTTTAATTCCACTTAAACTGCAAGCTCCTGGGTTAGTTGGGTTGGGAGACTGCATCAGCCCAACCACAGGAACTTTTACCCCTAGGGAGAGTGAGGGGATTTGAGCATCTGAGCCAGAAAGCCAGACCCAGCTGTGCTGCAGACATGGTGGGGGACAGAAGGAACCAGCATGCCCCTAGTCAGTGCAGAAGCAGTGGGGTGGGGATGCCACTGGCTGTGAGAACTTATAGCAGGCTGGAGGGCTTGGTTTCAGTTCCAGGCCAGAGGGAAGAACTGAAGAAGGATCTGAGGTCAGTGGCATCATCCTCCATACCCCAGGGCTAGAGGTAATTACAAAAACTAAGCTACTACAAATAAAAAAATTAATAGGCAATGGAGAAAGAATCCAACTACCTATGGGAATAGAGAAGAGCGGGGTTCGTCTCCAGAGGAGGATACTGAAGCAAAGAAACCTCCTTCTACCCCAAAGAGTAACATCAAATGGTCACCTGCCCAAAAAGAATTCATAAAAGAACTATAAGAAGACTTTAAAAATTAAATGAGAGACTGAGAAAATACTTTAAAAAAGTTCAAGAAAAACAAGAAGATTATGAAAAGAAAGTGAACCAATTAGAAAAGGAGATTCAGGATCTTAAGGAAGAAAACAACTCCTTGAAAATCAGAATTGGGCAAGGGGAAGCCAGTGAAGTTATAAAAGATCAAGAAATAATAAAACAAAATATAAAAAAAGAAAAAACAGAAGGGAATGTGAAACATCAACAGATCATGAAGAGAAAACATAAGAATGATTGGACTACCTGAAAGCTATGATCAAAGAAAGAATCTTGATACAAGTATACAAGAAATAAAGAAAATTGTCCTGAAGCATTAGAACAAAAGGGGAAAGTAGAAATACAAAAAAAAAAAAAAAATCCACAGATCACCACCTGAAAGAGATCCCATGAGGAAAACCCACAGGAATATCACAGTCAAATTCCAAACCCTCCAGCTCAAGGATAAAATATTACAAGCAACAAGAAAAAAACAATTTAAATATGGCGGTGCCACAATCAGAATCACAGAAGACCTAGCAGTGGCAATGGCAACACTAAAAGATCACAGGTCTTGGAACACTATATATTGAAGAGCAAAAGACCTGGGCTTCTGGCTGAAAATATACCCAGCAAAGTTAAGCATAATCCTGAGTAAAAAAAAAAAAAAAAAAAAGAAAGAAAGAAAAGAAAAGAAAAAAAAAAGAACATTTAATGAATTGTCAAACTATAAGGATTCTATTAAAAAAAAAAAAACCTGAACTTAATACAAGATTTGACATAAGAGCCAAGAGAAATATAAGGTACATACCAAAGACTAGGTTAAAGGGTATTTAGATTAATGGGAATGGGAGAATAAGGGAAGGATTCTGGTGGGGATAGGTTAAGTAATAAGTGGGCAAGCTACTGCGTTGAAGTAAAGTAGAGGAGTCAGAAGGGATAGGAAATAAGATACAAACAAACAAAATAAAGATCGGGAGCAGAATTTCTTGAGTATTTCTTAGGAAAGTATATAACACTATATGTATGCATAGTATATATGTAAGTCTGTATATATCTATACGTAAATATATTCATGACTAACTGTACCTGGGGGGAAAAGGGGGAGAGAGAAGGGGTAAAAAAAAAGAATAAAAACCACAAAGCAGAGAACAAAAGAAAACTTACAAGGAAGAAAAGAAAAGATGGACAGCTCTCAACACAATATGTAGTATTTATTATACAGGCTTTCTTGAAATGGAAATTTATTGCTATATATTTTAAATCCTCTCCTACATGCCATTGTGCATATGACAAGGCTTTTTAAATTTTTTTTCATTTTGTATTTAGGTTTCAATATTTAAGTTTGTAACAAAAAATTAATTTTAAAAAAGGTAAGAAGTAGTCATGTTCTATCTTCAATACATTTTCCTGTCAATATTCTTAATACTGCACAGAACATAAAATAACACTTTAAAAAGCTGATTTACACACACACACACACACACACACACACACCCCATTACATCAACTATAATGGATTTATGTTAGAAACCAATATTTAATATATAACCATGACCTTCTATAGCTTACAAAAACCAACAATTCAAATACTGTCCCATACCTAGTAGACACTGAATAAATCTAGGTATGGGGCAGTATTTTAAGTACTGCAAGAGAAAAAGATTTAGAAATTACACAATACCATTATACAGTCTAGTTGGGAGTCATAACACAACACAATAAAAAAAAATAATACTTTCACAACAACATAAGAGAGGGAGGCATAAGCAAACTGCTGTGAGGTTGGTGGAACTGGAGAAAAGATGAATAAAAAGAAAAGAATGCTTCCTGAAAAAATTTGTGGTTGAGAGGTAGTTGGCCCATTATAAAACAAAAATACATAAAATGTAATAGCATCTAAATTCATTTTTAAAAGCTAACCAAATTGCAATAAAATATTCATATAATACTTAATTGTAGTATTTTTGTTGTTCTTTTTTCTTCTTATAGGCAAGGTAGGTGGTAATGTGGATAGGCTGGACCAACAGTAAAAAAAAAAAAAAACATCTAAGTCCAAATGTGGCCTCAGACACATACTAGCTGTGTGACTCTAGGCAAGTCACTTAACTTGTTTGCCTCACCTTCATCATCTGCAAAAAAGGGATAATAATAGCAACGATCTCTCAGGGTTGCTGTGAGGTTCAAATGAAATAATAATTGTAAAGTGTTTAGCACACTGCCTGGCACATAAGTGCTATGTAAATATTAATTATTATTATTTCCTGAGCTAGGTAAATCTAACAAAAATATAAACAAAAAGAAAACAATGGGCTGAACAATTGGTATCTTGTGATGAGGTGCTTAAAAATACACACATCAGAAACACAAGGTACCATAATAAAAACACATCCACATTCTAAGGCACAGGAGAAAAAAAAATTGTAATGTAAAGAAAAGCTATATTAAATATATTACAGATGACAATGCCATAAAAATAGCAACAGAGGAAAGCAAAAAGATACAGACCTAAATGGAAACCAATAAGTATCAAAGGACAAAATTATAGAAACTAATTCTATACAAAATAATAAGACAACATACCAAAGTTTTGGGGGTGCAGTTAAAGCAGTCTTCAGAAGAAAAATTTTATCTCTAAAACATTTTTTAAAAAAGAAAAAGAAGAATTAATGAATTAAGTATGCAATTTTAAAAATCAAGAAATTTTAAAAAAAATAATAAAAACAGAAGAAACACTAAAAAGTAGGAGAAAGACAAAATGGAAAACAAACACAAAAAAGCCTAAAATTCTAAAATTAGAACTGAGCTGGCATCTGAAATATCTTTAAAATTTTAATGTAATTTTTAAAAAGAAAAAAAATGGGCTGAGGTGGAGCCAGAATGGTTGGAGTAAAGGCAGGGACTTACTTGCCTCAGCTCTCCCAAACTGCCCTCTAAACAACTTAGAAATAATATCTCCAAATGAATTCAGGACCACCGGAACCAAAAAAGTACAGAGTGAAACAATTTTTCTAGCTGAAGACAACTTAGAAATTAGACCGGAAAAGTCTGTCTCACTGGAGTGAGAATGGAGGGCAGTCTGTAGCACAGGTGGCACTCCATAGGCCTTGGGCAGGACTGACATGGGTCTGTGACTTCCTGAGCTCTCAGCCCACAGACTGGGAACAATGTGCTATCACTGAGTGCAGGACTCTGTTGGATTGTCTATATTGTGGATCCGGGTCACAGGCTCAGAGTGAGAAGGAGTAGCAGCATACCAGAGCTTTCAGTTAGTGGGGAGTGGGGACCCTGGTCAAAGTACCAGGGGAGAAGAGAGCACTGATCACAACTCTCTTTAGATCATGCCACTTTTGAAGAACTGAAAACTTATGGATCCCAGAATTACTTCTGAAAACAGAAGCAGGAAAACCTGAAACTTGGGACAGTGCCCTTTCCACCCCAGGAACAGAGCCTAACTTTAACAAAAAAGTTCAAAGTCAAGAAATAAGCTGGAATAATGAACAAACAACAAAAAAGAACCTGACCGCAAAGAGTTAACATACTTAAAAGTTAGATCAAAATACAGATGACGTCAAAACAACTAAATGCAAAGCCTCAAAGAAAAATGCTAACTGGTGTAAGGCTCAAAAGGAATTTTTAAAATAAAATAACAGAGGTAGAGGAAAAATTGGGAAAAGAAATGAAGGTGATGCAGAAGATTCATGAATAAAGAGTCAACAGCTTGGTAAAGGAAGCTCCAAAAATAGAAAAAGACATATAAAATTTCACTGGGGAAAACAACTATTTAAAAAAGTAGAAAAGAAGGGAGATAAGAGAAGAGAGGGGGACTGACAGAAGGGAGAGAAGACTAGGGAAGGTGGGGGTCAGAACCAAAACACTTCTGAGGAGGGACAAGAAAAGAAAAGAGAGAAAAGAATAAACAGGGAAAAACAGGATGGAAGGAAATAGAGTAATCATAACTATGAATGTGAATAAGATGAACTCACTCATAAAATGGAAGCACATAGCAGAGTGGATTAAAAACCAGAATCCTACTAAATGGTGTTTAACAAGAAACACACTTGAAGCAGAAGAGATACATACAGATTAAAGGTAAGGGATTGGAGCAAAATCTATTACGCATCAGCTGAAGTTAAAAAAACTTAGGAGTCTGATTGCAGATGGAGCATACTATTTGCTCTCCTTTTCTTTTATTGTTTTGTTTTGTTTCTTCTTTCTCATGGTTCCTCCATTAGTTCTAATTCTTCTTTACACCATGACTAATGTGTAAATATGTTTAATATGAATATGTAAGTAGAGTCTATATCAGATTGCATGCCGTCTTGTGTAGGGGAGAGGTGAAAAATGCTATCCTTTAAGAACTCACTATTTGACAAAAATTGCTGCGAAAACTGGAAAAGGTGTGGCAGAAACTAGGCATAGACCAAAATCTTATACCATGTACCAAAATAAAGTCAAAATGGGTTCAAGATTTAGATATAAAGACTGATACTATAACTAAGTCCTTCAGAATTGTCTTAGATCTTTGTACTGCTGAGAAGAGCTAAGTCATTTACAACTGATCATCCAATTACTTTGTACAATTTTCCCCTAGTTCTGCTCACTTCCGTTTGCATGAGTTCATTTATGTCTTTCCAGGCCTTTTTGAAAGCATCTTGCTCATCATTTCTTGTAGTACAATAGTATTCCATCAGAATCATATGCTACAACATGTTCATCTATCTCTCAGTTGAAGGGCATCCCCTCAATTAGAAATATTTTCCCATAAGTACTGTTTTGGATGCATCCCATAAATTTTGGTATCTTACCTCATTGTCATAGTCTTTTATGATATTATTGATTGTTTCTATGATTTATTCTTTGACCCACTCATTCTTTGGGATTAATTCATTTCCAAGTAATTTTTATTCTATGTTTCCATGATCCTTTATTGAATGTAATTTTTATTTCATCATGATCTGAAAAGGATGCATTTAATATTTCTGCTTTTCTGCATTTGGTTGTGAGGTGTTTTTCCCCCCTAATACATCGTCAGTTTTTGTGTAGGCTCCATGTGTCACTGAGAAAAAGGTATATTCTATTCCCACTGATCTATAAGATCAGTGTCTTACACCACATACTACATGCAACAATAAGTTCCTACAGGATAAGTGACCTAAACAAAAAAGTCACAGCCTAACCATAAACCAGAGAATGGAAATAAAGTTGACAACTATGGATAGTGAGAGAACTCTTAACCAAAAAAAGAATGGAAGACATCATAAAATAAGAGGACCTGGCAAAAAAAAGAAAGTTCTGCAGAAATTACACAAACCAATATCTTACAAGACATTTCATAATCACTTCAAAAGGCAAATGGGACATGAATATTAAAGATCATAATATTTTAAAAATTAGGAGAGAAGCAGATCTTACACCTTTCACAGCTCTGGGTAGGAATTCTTAACCAAACAAATGAGAGTCAGTTACAAAAGGCAAAAGATCATTTTGATGACACAGAAGTTGAAACACTTTCTGTTGCACAAACAAAAATCAATACACCTAAGATTAAAAAAAAAAAAAGCGATACAGAAAAATCTTTATACCAAACATCTATAATAAGGGTTTAGAATCTAAGATATAAAGAAATATACAAGACGCACCCCAAAGTCTTTAAGGTTTAAGAGCTTAAAACTGCATGAGGACCTCTAGGACAATTCCCCAATAGACAATCCAAACAATCAATAAACAAGCATTTATCCCTGATCACAAAAATGTTATATTTAATGAGGAAGGCAAGTCCAAAGGAGATAAGTACATATAAAAACACTAATATAGCACAAATACTAAATTAATAAATACAAATATATACAAAGCAGTTAAGCACAAGGGAATTTAGAAGAAAAGGCACTAGCAGTTGAGGGGAATGGCGTTATTGGGAAAGATTTCATACAGAAGTTGAGTTGCATATTAAAAGAAGAAAGAAACACTGAGTGGATGGAAGTATGAATGGACTACATTTTAGGGATGTGGAAAGACACTGGAAAGGCAGAAATATGATGAGAGGAGTTTCATGTGTCAGTAAAAGGGAAGGCCAGTTTGACTGGATCGGAAAGCAAAGGATGGAGAGTAATATTCAATGAGGATATAGCCAATTCATGAAGGGTTGGGATCCAGTTTTTGAAGTCTGGTAAAGACTATGTACACCTTCTAAGAATCATGTTTTAAATGCATAAAATAAAATAGACAGGATTATAAAGTAAGCCAATCATACTGAAATAATTATCAAAACTTCTTTTTTAAAGTTCATGGACTCTTAATAGAAACTTAGGGAATACCTACAGTTAGGGAGAGTGATGATGATGATTAAGCAACTACTACATGCCCAGCACTGGAGAAACAAAAAAAAAAGGGAAAAAAAACCAGTCTCTGCTCTCAAAGAGTTCAACAGTGAAAAATGCAGCAGGCAGGTAGAGAAGGATTAGGACTAAGAAAAGCCCATTAGATTTTTGGCAATTGAGAGATCACTTCTAACTTTAAAGAGAACAGTTTTGGTTGAAGATGAGCTCAGAAGCAGGAGTACAAAGGGTTGAAGAGCAAGTGAGAAGAGAAGTGAAGGTATTAAAGTGTAGGAGTTTGGCTGAGAAAGGGAGGAGATAGAGGAAAAGTGGTCAAGAGATATGAACAAGGAATTCTCAAAAGAAAAATTGCTACCTACTAACAATCACATAGGAGAATGCTTCAAATCACTAATAAGATTAAAATTGATTCTGTATCATTTGCCCTATAAACTGCCTAAGCTATAGCTCTTTGTTCTTGAAATTCAGCAATGGTGTCAAATTCAAACAGAACCAGTGGCCACTACAGCATACCTAAAGACTCCTGCAGGCTGCATATTGACTTAGAAAACCACATAGTAATATTGTTTATGTTTTATTATATTTTTATTTCTTTTGTTCAATATTTCCCGATTATATTTTTATCTGGTTCAGAAAGTACTTGGGAGTAAAGTGGTTGGCACGAGGCCAGGACTACATGTTTGACACCTCCCATCTACAACATTCCTGGCAGAAGGTCACCAAGTCTAACTAAGCTTGACAGTAACAATGGAATTCACCACTTGACAGAGGCAGACCATTCCATTTTTAGACAGCTCTATTTTTAGGAAATTTATCCACATATTATACTGAAGATCCCTGTTAATTTTCATAAACTGATCACAGCTTGCTCTTCTGGAAGTAGCAAAAAACAATGCAAAGAAAACTGGTTTTAGAGTCAGAGGATCTCTGAATCTTATTACCTGTTTGACCTTTATGTGGGTACATTACTTAACTTCCCTGGCCTCAGTTTCCTCATTTTTAAAATGAAAAGATTGAAAGAAACACGTGCAGCTCTAAACCACCAAAAATTCTGAAACCTTTTCCAGGTTTAGGCTTGCTAGATTTTAATTTATGCTGTTTTTACAACACCAAATCACAATGCAATCAACACTTATTTAAAACACAATGTGTACAAAAATGCTAGGCACTAAAAAAGATTTTTTTTAAAATTACATAAAACATGATCCCTATTCCTTACTGTTGTATTTCAATAAAACAAGAACCAAGACATATGACATTTTGCCAAATTTAAGATGAAGGGAGAATAATTTGCAGGTATTCCTCATCTTCTGAAACAGATGTATCCCAATTAACAAACTTCTACTAAGCACTACCTTAGGCAGAGGATTAGATGGCTAGATAGTGTCATGGCAGCAACAAACATGAGTTTGGACAGACTTTGGTAGACAGCGGAGGCCAGAAGGGCCTGGCATGTCCATGTGGTCATAAAGTTAAAAAGGACAACAAAGCACTAACTTATAATAAAAGTTCAAAAGAATCCCAGAATCTCAGCATTGGGTGAAACTTCAGAAGCCATAAAATTCAATTTGTACTTCAACAAAAATCTCCTCTACAATACGCCAAATAAGAATTCACCCAGCCACTGGTTAAAGATCTCCAATGAAAGGCTTTAAGGAAGTCTACTGTGGTAGAAGCAGTATTATCTACCAGAACCCACCACCATAGGAAACAGATACTACATTCCTTTCTTGTGGATAGCACTAATTATTAGGAAGTTCCCCCTGAAATTTCCACACATAGCTCTTACTTCTTGACCTTTGGGATCAAGCAATATAATTCCTCTTCTATGTGGCAAATCTTCAAATGATTTAAGATATACTATTATACATTTTTTAAGATATACTATTATACTTTTCCTAAGCCTTCTTTTCTCCAAGTTCAATACTGCTAGTTTCATTCATATGTCCTTCCTAAAAAATGTGGTGACCAGAATTGAATGATAGGAAAAAGCTTTTAACTATGGAATTACTTGCAATGTGAAAACAGCTGCACTGATCTTTTCAAGGCTTTGTACCAGCCAACAAGTGAGACAACCCCTCACTTCAATCAAAACTGAAGCCAAAGTTGCCCAGAAACTCTGCAAGTAATTGTGATCATCTCAAAATAACTCACAAACATAACCTACTTCTAACTGCACAATAAACCTGACTGAATGCCAATTATGACTTTTGCTATGTAAAATAACTATTCAATTTAAGTAAATTAAATTTTAAATTTACTAAGACCAAATTACAGGAGTACAAATTAACTTACTTTTTTAAAATAATAAATTACAGAAAGAGTAAAAATAGAGCACATGTCGATAATTTCATTGTTACAATTAACATCGCTGAGGTTATAACTATTTTTATAATAACTAAGAAGAGGTTATCAAGTGGAGCACTGACTAGAATGCTGAAACTGGAGTCAGAAAGATCTGGATCCAAATTCAGCCACAGATACTTACTGGCAGCATGACACTGGGCTGCATTTAGTCTCAGCCTCAATTTCCTCATCTCAAATGGGGATAATAGCACCTACACCTCCCAAGGCTGTCCTGTGCATAAAATGAGTTAATATTTACAAAGCACTTTGCAAACCTTAAAGTGTTATGTACTATTATTATTATTATTATTATTAATATGGTAAGATACAGCTATAACTCACATAAACAAAAGTTGTTGGGGGGGGGGGTGTCTCAATAATTGTTAAGCATAAATAAGGCCTGAGACCAAAAATTCTGAGAACCGAAGATACGTGCTAAGATACTGTGGGTGTGTTTTCACCACATACATAAAATGCTCCTACAAAAAGCACTAGACAGACTTGCCTTTAAAAGACACTCAAAGCTTAAGTTAGGACGTGAGGTTTTTTTGTTTTGCTTTGTTTTTTTTGTTACGGGTGAGGTTTAGCCACGAGCTTCTGAAATTCTCTACAAAACGTTGTAGATATCACCGTAGACCTCATAGTAGCAGGAACTACACCACATCTCACAGGGGACGTGTCAGATAAGCTCCTCCTCCACCTTTTTTTTTTTAACCTCCTCCCCTCCCCCCCTTTTCTGCTACCTTTTGTAGGTGGTCTTCCCTCATTGGATAGTAAGATCCCTGAAGGCAGAGGCAGTCCTTCGCCTTTCTTTATATTCCCAAAGCTTAGGACAGTGCCTGGCACGTAGTAGGCGCCACTAAGTGTTAAATTGACTGACAGACCTCCGAGTCTGGAGCTCACTTTGTTCTCTCCAACAGGAGCCTCAAGCACCCGCCCCACCCCCCCTTACAAGGTCTCATAAGCATACGATCTAGAAGCACAACATCCAACCCTGAATCTGACAGTGCACCAAGTGGGACCCGCCCCGAAAAGCCGAGGTGAATGAATCCTGTCAACCCGGGCAGGCGAGCTCGGCGCACGCCTCAAAGAACATGCGAAAACGCCAAAGGGGGGCGTGAGAGAAGCCACCCGGCCAGAACGAGGATTCTCCGGCCACAGGGAGCGAGGAGCTGACGAGTGGAGCCAGGCCGCACTCCCGTGCCCCCGGGTGCGTGACCCACCCGCCCAAGCCTTAGAGGAGCGACCCTGGGCCAGGGGCAGCGCAGAGGCATGGGGCCAGTGACGCCCCCAAAGAGAGGGGGGAAGGCGCTCGGGAACCGGGTTCCCATTCCCGTGCGCGCTGGAAAGGAACCACGGCTCCGGGAGCCGGCCTCACTGCCCGGGCCCGAGCCCCTCGCTCCAGAGCCCCAAAGCGGGCCTCCGCGCAGCGTCCGTAACCTCATGACTCTTTTACCTTATGGTACAGTACACGCCGACAGCCATGATACACGGAAGCCCTCAGCCACTCAGGGTCCCGAGCGTCCGGAAATATCGCGGGAGGTGTAGCAGCAACCGCCGGAAATTTCTTTTTGGCTACGGATGAAGTTCTCGCGATATTCGCCGTGGCCCACAGACCCAGTCCGAAGAGTCAGAAGAGGTGGAGACTAGAGAGAGGGGGGCGTGGTTATTGCGAGCTGTGGGGATGAGGCTTGGGTCAGATGTAGGCACGTGTTCCCAAGATCCAGACAAGGTGAAAAGGCAGAGGCTACCTGTACATAGCCCTGGTCCAGTGTCCAAGTTTGAAAGTGCCATACCAACATCTTCATTATTGAGGCCCTATTCCTCTTATCACAATAGTAAGCTGGCCCCTCCTTGATTTTTCCGGCAAGGCTATTCATGTTGATAAAATTGATTGTTCCAGGCATGTGCAGAAGCCAGGTAGCTCATACCCAACCTAGTTGATTGTTAAATATTCCTTCTGAGCATTTACACTTTTGGAAATTTACAAATACTACAAACCAAAGCTTGGTTTATTGTTCATTTATTGTCACCACTCAATAAAGTAATGGAGAAAATGTTAATAATGCGGATGCAATTTGTGTGTCGTGTGTACATTTTCCTACATAGCAACTGTTAAACATTTAGCATCATTTTCCTAAAATCGACCCAGTCAAACATCGTCACCCTCTGACCTTTCCCTGCAACTAAAGATTTTTTAAGCTAGTAGGGATAGAAAAGAAAAGAGTAGTAAGAGATATCCCGGAAAGAGGAATACAACTGGAGTCAAGAACAGTTTTCCTGTTTTAATATGACATCCTGTACTACATTTCAAATTCCAATCTGGTAATCTCAAACATTTCTACTTCTGCACTTTTATGACTGTGATTTATATTGACATTTAGTTCAAATCCTGCTTCGGGCAATTACTCTGGGACATTGGGTAAGTAACTTTACCCTCTCTATCTCAATTTCCTCATCTTTTAAAATGGAGATAATAATAGCACCTACCTCAGGTGATGTGCTGATAAATGTTTAATTTTAAAAGTTTAATAGCTCTCTGGGGGAAAAATGTATGGCTGACACATTTTAAAGTTTAACCTGTATTATTAGCATTTTCTCCATCACTTTCTTAAATCTAGGCAATCAACAAAACAACACATCAAACCCCGATTTGTAGCATTTGCCAATTTCTTCTCAGAGTTATGGAATGAGATATTTGCAAAATGTTTTGCAAACCTAAAAGTGCTAAATAAATGCTAGATTCAAGCAATATCACAGATCAATCTTTTATTGTTAATGTTTCTATTTTGCTGAAATGTTTTCTTTTTTTTTTCCCCTACCTGATTGTTATGTAAGAATAGCATTAATTTAGATGTGAGGAAATTATGTCCTAGAGGTATTAAGTGATTTGCCGGAGGTCACTTGACTAAGACTAAAACTCAGGTCTCCTGGCTACTAAACAAAAGTAAATTAGGAGATTCTCTTTAACATAAAAAGAAATTAGCGGATCTCAATAAGAAGGGACTTTAAAAGTCACCTTGTCCAAATGTACTTGAACAAGAATCCCCTGTAGAGTATATGATCTTTCAGGGTGATGTTACCACACTGGACTTGGGTAGTGTGTATCCTTTTGATCCTGCAATACACTGCATTTGTGTTAACTTCTCTAAGAGTTTGATAAATTCTATATTGTATTTAGAATGAGGTGGCATAGTCCTATCAGACCACATCTTGTCTTGTGTCCAGGTCTGGGTGGAATATTTTAGGAAGACTATTTGATAAGCTGATACACCTCCAAAAGTGATTAACCAGGAAAATGACACTTACAATAAGGAAATGGAGAAGAAAAGATATAATCATTGTTTTTTGATATTTGAAGTGCTGTAGCACAGAGAGGGATTAAATTGATTTTGCTTTGTCTCAGGCAATAGAACTAGCAAAAATAGGCAGATGTTAAAGAAAGGCAGATTTTGGCTCTATATAATGAAACCTTTCTTAACAGAATCATTTTTAAATGGAATGCACTTGAGAAGCCATAAGTAAGTATTCATTTAAAGAGAGGCTGGGTGTTCATTTGTTGGGGACAATGTAGTTTTGGATTTTACCCTTCAGGTGAGGGATGGACCAGTGATTTCTAAGGTTTCTTCCCACTCTTGAGATTATATAAGGCAGATACAGGCAGCCTGAAGTATAAGAAATAGCTAATTGAACAGCTTCTTTAAGTGATAAGGGTACCACTTAAATTTCTTTTTCAATTTAATTCTGACAGGAGACAACTCCACGAATCAATACAGTAAGCTTTACTAGCTGTGCCTTGACGCTTAGCACTACCAGAGGTCAATAGTGAAGGTAAACAATGCCCAGAGTCCAAAGTACAAGCAGCAGGACCTAAAGGAAGAAATAGGGAAGGGAAGAGACAAGAAATGTCCTGGGGCAGGGGTCTTCCCACCCCCCAGTGGGAACTAGATGATCACAGTGAGTTGGAAAAACTGATTCCTGAACTTCAGTTCAGAGTGGATGACAACCATGCTGGCAAAAGGCAGGAGGTGACTAGCTCCACTGACTAGAAATTTCGGCAGGGTTTTTATAGTGTTCTTCAAGTATGTTCCCCCTCAAAATGGTGGTGGTAATGGTGGGACTATCTCCATGTACAGGGTAAATGAAAGCCCACTCATTGTTTTGACTTTTGCCATCACAATGATGAAGCAGGGCAGGAGATGGTCACTCAATCAGGATATAAAGTCAGGGAAGGCCAAGGCATAGGGAGCAGGGGGCAGGGGGCAAGGTAAGCATGCCTGCTATTACGTTTCCATAGCAAATTAAAACTGCATCACAAGTCAGAATTACAAGATGGCCTCCAGATCACAAAATGGAATCTAAGAAACTTAAAGGGATCATACTGATGGAGTGCTTGGGTGCCTGTGTTTGTACCCCAATTTCTCCCTAGTCTCAGAAACAGTATACCTGGCAATTTCCCCCCAGTTCAAGGACACTATGCCTAACAATTACTCATGAGTGGGCCTCACCAAGACACTTTCTTATCTCTCTCCCTGGTGCAGTTACACAAAGCTGGGTGAGAAAGTGATGGACTACTCAGGCCCCAGCCCTAAGATAATTTCTCTGGAAGCCTCCCAACTTCTTAGTAGGCTCCTGTCCTGTGAGAAAATTTTCTCTTGTTGCAGAGCATTCTCTAATCAGGACAGAGAGAAAGGGGTGCCTGGCTCAAGGATTTCTGTCCCTGGTTGGCCCAAGGACTCTTCCTTCCCCCAAATCCCCAGGGTCCATGCCTCTGACAACTCCCTCATTGTCTGGTATACTCCCTGCACTTTCCCATCCATAACTCCCAAGAAATCTGGACCTTTAGGTTGCCTAATTAGTATCCCTGGCATCCCTTTCCCATGCCCCTTTTCCATATAAACCCTAGCACCATCCTCAGTCTCTCGCAGGTTCCTTAAGAATCTTAGCCCACTGAAAAGCGTAACAATAAATCTTTGCCAACTTGACTCAAAGAATGCTTGAGTCTGTGAATTCATTCCAGACGACTGTACTTCAGTCTTTGAGGGGTCTCAATCTCTCAGACCACAACGATACAGCAATGTACATATCCACTATCTATTGTTTCTGAATTTCCAATCCATGAAATGCTACAGCCACAGGTTGAGAATGAGCCCAGATCTTCGGTGGACAATGAGAAGGAGTACAGGCCCTGTGCCCAGAAGCAAGTCCATGGATACAACAACCTACCAATCTTCATGTCTCCAGGCCTTAAATGAAACCAGCAAGGCTGTGTTTTGTTTTTTTTTTACAAGTGGATGTTGTAATTTTTTCCTTTCTCTTTTTCTTCCTCTTTCAATTAACCAAACTGTTCACATAGAAAAGGAGAAGTACCTTACACTTCCTTCCTTCTTGCCTTCCTTCAGTTGTCAGTTTGGGTGGTGTTCTGGTTCTGCTGATTTCACTTTGCATCAATTCATATAAATATTTCCATAGTCATCCTATGTATCACTTCTGGCTGGTACGAAGTAATTGTTTTGGGGCAAATGGAAGCTGCCTTTCAGGAAGATGCCTAGCAACCTTTCCTTAGAGAACATGGCAGGATATAAAAGGCTTAGGGCACTAGTGCACCCTCAATATGAGATCCTGTCATTTGAAAGGCTGGACATGGAAGATTTGTGGCCTGGACTCTATCAGCCTTTCCTCGGGGATACACTGTGTCCTGGAATACCCATGTTTGACACTTGACCATCCTCTTAGATGTTCTATCAATTTTTGTGGCAATACTCTCTTCTGGTTCTCCCCCTTTCTGTCTGATTACTTTGTTTCAGTTCTTTTGCTGGTGCATAATGCATATCATGCTCCCTAACTGTGAATGTTCTCCAAGGCTTTGTCTTGTACCCTCTTCTCTTCTCTCTTAGTCATCACATTGGTTCCCATGAGTTTATCAGTTCTATAAAGATGACTCACAGATGTTTATCTCCAGCCCCAACTTCTCCCCTGAGCTTCAGTCCCCTATTACCAGTTACCTTTTGAATATTTCAAACTGGATACCTCAGAGATATTTCAAACTCAGCTCTACGTCTGTGGAAGGTATTATCCATTCCCACTTATCCAGATCTATAACTTAGTAGTTATCCTCATATCTGCACTCTCCTTTCAACTCTCGGATCCAAAATTGCCAAATCTTGTCATTTCTACTTCTACATCTCTTACATCTGATTGCTTTTCTCTACTACAGCCACAACCAAAGTTCAGTCCACACCTAGAGTTCAGGGCCTTATCACTTTTCATCTAGATTATTTGAACTGTTTCATAATTGATCTTCCTGCTTAAAGTCTTTCCCCATTCTACTTTGATAGCATCCTATTTTCTCTAGGATAAAATATGAAATCTAGCTTTTAAAGCTCTTTACAACTTGCCTCTATCTTTCCAGGCTCATTCTATTTTATCTCGCCCCCGCCCCCCCGCCCTTGCCATGTTTTATGATCCAGCCAAATTGACCTCTGTTCGTCATGTAAAGCATTCCATCTTCACATGCTGGCCAATATATATATATACCTAGAA